GTGGAAATCTTCAGTCAAATGGATGTTGACAGCATTCTGGATAACTTCGTGTTCGTAGCCTACACCTTCGTCGTCGTGTTTGCCGTCAATCCGTTCTATACAAAATTCATTCTCATGGCAGCACGCGAAGTCAAAATATAAAAACATTCGACGATCTCAGATGAATTTAGTGAAGATAAATCTGATGTTACGGTCGAGTGAACGGTTCTGGCGCGAAAGACTGATTATAAACTTTGGTTCTTGTGTTATTAGTTGAACTATTTATTACAAACAATCGGGGGGCACATTTTGAATTCATATGTAGAACTACCAGTGAACATTAAGTGACCAATGTAAGAGGTTGTTTCATCTCATTTGATCAAATGCTTGAATAAAGCAGAGAAAAATACTTTATTACCATTCGAAGGAATTCAGTTTCAGTCTGGTATCTTTTCATCAACATTAGACATGTGTATGCAAATCAAGTAACAATTTGAATCGAACTTTACTACTAAGAGTTTAATTATCCTTACTGGAAGTTACCACATCGATCAGAGAGTTCATCAGAACATTCCGGTGCATGAGGGTATTCATAGAACTGCCCATTAATCAAGATATTTTTTTAATAATTCATATATCCCATGTTAATAAATTATTTAGAAAAATTTTATTGATAAGATTTTTAAGCGTTTAATCTTACTGCCGAATTATTTTTTCTTATTATTCTAATGTTTTTTGCATATAAATTTCTTTTCAAAATTCAACTCCGTTGAGCTTTAGGTTTGTTAGGGGTAACCTTATCATATGGGTGCTACTTGAGGTGGTCTTTGTGATAATATGTATAATCGACGTATCTTTACTAATCTTTAGGAAATGTTATGAAGTAAGATATGTCCAGAAAGGTTGAAATTGTTTTAACATGACATGAATGCCATAATTTGGTGACGAGCAGTGTTAACTGAGCATCCACGAGAGCAGGTTGTGTGGTGCCTAAGAGCTCCTCGATTGCTTGTTGTTTGCTCTGTTGCCTTGCACGTGCGTTGCTCCCATTCTCTCGTCTCGCTTTTGCTGACGCGGCGATTTTATTATTGACACGTCTTTCTACTTTAGAAACGACGGGCACATTTGGTGAAACGACTGGTCCTTTAATATCAGAGATTGGCCGTCGCATTACGGAATTGTCCGGCGAACGTAGAGAGACTCTATGGTTGGAGCAAAGGTTGGGTTTGGCTGTGCAGAGAGGCAATGCGGCTAGCATTCTAGCGGCGGTCAGAGAAAAGTTCGACGTGGGCCCGCTCCTCGCTCGCGTCACAGCTCAGTGACCCTCGGAGCCGGTGTAGGCCACCATCAGAGGCGTTAAGGTCGGGGCCCTGATCATTGACATGAAACCATTCCCTGTTTTTAATTAATAAAATCAATTCCTTTTTTTTTTGTTGGAATGGTGAGTGTGGGAGGCCTTTTCTAAAAAAAAGAATTTGGTGAAGCTTTGAACGTTACTGTAGTACATAATTGCCGAGCCCAAGCCCCAGATCTCCAACCACTCACCATCAATGACTTCTTTCTTGCCAGAGCCCTCATAGTTGACTTGATAGATGATAGCGGTTTCAGCGTTTAGTAAGCCATAGGTCTGTCGCCGATTCTTAACATCGTAGAACATTCACAGCATTTTGCGGTCTCGAACTCGCAACTCACTGCTACAATTCTGCTGTGCTTAACCGCCCGGCCTTCTTGCCGATTCTGACCAGAAACTGGTGCACAGAGCTGGGATCGAACCCGCGCCTCTCTGCGCCAATCTTGGTACTCTGAACTGTAACCACTGGGCCACCCTACCCCATTACTTACCGCTCTCCCTAAAACTGGCTGCAAATTTTACAATATTTGAGTTACCTGAAATGTTAAATATTTATAATTTTATTGATAAAGTACAAATATAAGTCTGTTCATTAGATATGTTTGTTAACAAGGAGAGCGACGATGAATGTGAATTGAGGTTTTCAAGATCACGGTGAAATTTGGGATTTTTTTATGTATGCACAGTTTAATACGCTGTTAAATACCTATGCTAGATAAAAATGGGAGTTACATCAAGTGAACTGACACATATGGCATACTTAAGCAATGTAGAAATAGAAGTTACACCAATTGTACGGGTACATTTAGCGTTCAGATACAAGTTGGAGAAGCAAGTTTATTCAACTCATTTTCTAAATATGACAGGAAAAACCAAGGCAGAAAATAAAGTTACACTGAATGAACTGGTATATATGTATGTGATTTCAGGTTCCTGCTGGCCGCTCTGCGCTGTCCATCGCAAATCCTGTCCCTGTCTTGCGAAGAGGCCTTTGTAGTAAGGAACTTGGACCTGAGTTTGTGTTGGGCATCCCTCAAGATTTCGGCAGGTGATCGCGCAGGATCGGATAGCTTGGCTGCAGTTTTCTCGACGTGTTACCACAATTACATTGTTTCTGATATTTCAATATCGGTTTGAATCGGCGCTGGGGACTTGTGCATGTGCGAGTAGGTAGTGGGCACTCAGCTCCTATTCATGATGTTAAGGATTACAATAGGGTTCGTTTAATTTGTCATTTCCGTTTTGATTCACCACCGATGACATCGCAAATGAATGTTTACTTATTTGTCATTGCTATGTGATCCACCACAGAGGCAAGTACTAGGATTGTTTATCGTGTGTTAATCTTTGGGGCTGATGTATTGGTGGCCTTTCTGGAAATATTGAATATTATTATTTATATTAGTTTATCATTGTGTGTTATATTCATTCGTTAGTGTTACGTTAATTCGAGTCCTTAATTTGTATTTATTTGTGTTTTTTTTCAGCGGGGCTCCGAACTTAGGACATGATTGGGGATTGATAGGCAAGGGCTGTAAAGACCCACGGTTTATATTTTATAGTTTTGTAATTTGTTTTATTATATTTATCGTTCGTTTATTATTAAGGGTTTTCATTCTTTATTTTTATTCATCCTTTAAAAACGATCACTGGTCAAATGTCTGGGGTCATCGAAAGTTTAGTTTGTTTATTTATTGAATAGTCCCCAACAATGGCGACCCAAAGCGGTGGCATTGGTTAAAGTTTGAAGGCAATTTGCCTCTTCTTCCCCCACACTTTCAGCTTTCCCAGATCGTTTTGTAGGCGATGAGAAAGTCCGACGCAAATGCTGATTCCTTCTCCCAGGTCATTGATATACTGATCAGAAACAGAGTTCGTCGAGCACCGAGCGTTGTGGCGGAAAGTAAGCGATTTTCTGCTTGACCCTCGATAGTAGTTTCATGATGTCAGGTAACTCGAAATTATTTTGAAATCAATTAACAAGAGTTAGTACCGTAATGTTTGATAATTTGTCTCTAAAAGCCTAGAAAAAAACATATATTTATTAGTTTTGGTTTGATTAAAACGATAAATTTTTTTCCACACTTCTTTTTGAGTTTTATTTTCTCCAGCTGCCTATAATAATTGTTTCAATATTATGGTCAACGATTGTTGAATTTTAGTAAAATTTAATTCTAATTTTTATTTACTTGTAAACACAAATAATTAAATGCTTTGACTTCAGTCATTGAACCAGATGAAGACCAACACTCTCCACCTCCTCTTTGTGGAAGATTTCAGACTTAACTTTTGAGTAATTCTATTAGACTTTCCTTCCTCCCCACTAGCTTTATGTGGAAATATATGAGAAATTTCACAGAATTTCAGGCGGGTTTACCACGCATTGCAGCGGCCCCGTCCCAACTCGTGGATATAAATAAAGAACTCGTGCTCTGAGAGGCAGCCTCCGGGGGCCGAGTCAGTGCTGTCGCGAAGGTTCGTCGGTGAACGCTGCCTGCTTCTGTACTTATATAATTCATTGAAAATTTACACCTGTACGGTAAATTTTCCACAAAGAAATTATCAATACGTACATCATCTGGAAATTGGATATTGTGCAGCGTGATTGTTTTTCCAGAGTCGATCCGTTTTGACGACAATAATTTTTCAGTCAAATGTGCAAATTGGGAGCAAAGTCTGTTGAGCTATCTATTTGTGAGTTATGTAGTTAAATCAGAATTTAAATTGACTGAAAATAGGAAGAAAAATATTATTTATGCACCATATTAGGCAGCCTTTGTTGACTGGGGCTCTCATTCAGTCAGTAATTATTGAACGACGAAGTTAAAAAAGTTTGAATATCAGCCTATGTTATTTTACGTGCTAGAATTTTAACGTTATTTAGCAATGCCTTGGTTATAAGCTCTCCGCGAACAAATTGCCATCAAATATCAAAGAGAAATCTTTAAGCATTAGGACATATTTACTTAATACTCTAATCTAGAACAAATTTTATTCCAATGCCACCAAACTTGTTCACTATTTTACTCATGTTATCATGCCACATAACATTATCATGCCACCCGTTAACAGTAACCCTGCTACCTTCAGTATGTTGCAAAATTGAAAGACCTCCGTCAGTCCTCCACAACTGCCCATCAATTGCCCATTGCTCACTGAGGGTAATAGACCTAAATTTTGTAGCCTTCATTTCCCACTGAGGGTAATATAGCCCAGTTTTGTAGTCGTCATTTCCTACTGAGGGCAAGATAGCCCTTTTTGTGAGCCTTCACTGCCCACTGAGGGTACTGCCCACTCTCACTCACTTTCATTGCCCACTCACGGAGGCGTCATTTGATGCACGCAGCTAAACTTGGCAGGAAGTGCGAAGCACGTTCTCGTACCGGACACGTAAAACCTGCTGAGGATATAATTCTTATTCAGATGATATTCTTGAGTAATCAAAGTCCAAGCTTGAAATTATTTTGTCATGCTGTTCCCTTGGTTTTCCGCTGTTAAAGTATCCTCAAAGGGCCAAAATAAATTATTTTATACTTAATCGTGAGAGCCCCTTCAGTAAGCGACGGAGCACGAGCACAGGTCTAGTAAATAGTATTCTGTACATGTTATTCTATACACGTTATCCAGTACACGTTATTACGTACATGTTGATCAGTACACGTTATTGCATTTTCTTGCATTGTATTCTTAACTTCAGCGTAAATAGCTCTTGTAAGACAATTGACTTCATTCGGGGAAGGTAACCTTATGCATTCCAAACGGTGATCAACTATTATGCGAGCACCACGCGCTAATCGCTATCCTTGTCAAGACGAAAGTTAGCCATTGACAGAGGCTGAGCATGAGAGTTTGCTGTCATGCTGCTATTTCTGGCGCGTGTAGAATGCGGTGCACCTACAACAACACAAATGAAGAACTTGCGGGGCAAGAAACACAAGCTCATTTTGCCGTACACCGTCTTGGCAAAAAATGAGCTCAGTGTACGCTCACGGTGAGCTCAAAAAATGAGTTCACCGTCGGTGGCACTGACACAACGTATTGGCTATTGCACGCAACACGCAGGTTTACTTGCTACTCATGTCTTACGCAGTCTTGCCTAGTCTGGTGACCCTGTTGGACACACATATTCTCTGCTGCAGGTGACATGCAGGTTTGCTTTCATCAACTTGTATATTCGTGAGTTAAACCTATCAACAATAGGTATATAGTGATGAAATTATTTGAATTATGTTTACTTGCGATGTATTGTCATGATCATTCTTCATTTAAAGCTCTTGTACATATCTATACTTGGGTTCGTTTTTACATATCTTTCCTGTATGTTCAGTCATATTGCCGTCGTATGTATACCGTTCATAAGTCGTATTCATATTTGCATCTAAAAGCGTGGAGCGTTAATAGAATGTTTACATAAATAGTAAACACGCAATTAGCTGCGTATTTACTGAACGAAACGAGGCCAGTGAACACGTGACAACGCACAAGCCAATTCTGGTCGTAAGAGGTAATTCCTAACAAATGTAGAGCAATTGTCTGGCCCTGTTCCAAATTTTTGTCCTTTCTTATAAGAGCATTGACTGCACTGTCGGTGAGATCGTTGAATCGTCGTGCAGACTACGAATCGAATAATGGGTTCTATTGCAAGTGAAATTCATTGAAGCTGTATTAAGATGAGGAAAAATAAACCTTATTTACAAATGGAATTCAGTAAGTGATGCATAGATGTTTAGCTGGAATTGATATAGTGTTAGGAGTCCTTTCATCAATTGCTGTCATTCAATGTTACGCAGGCGGGTGTACTTTGTACAATGTACATTGTTCCGCAGGCGGTGCTGTTGTGGCCGAACATTCAAAGTGACAGGTGAAAGAAGATTTTCTCCGAGCACGGAGTGATTTTTGTCATCCAAAGTTTAGGCAAAAGTACGAGTATACAAATATGCATCTATTCTTTAAAAGTGACAAACTTTTACGACTTAAAACTCAATTTAACTTTTGTTAAACATTCAATTACGCAATTTCGCGAACTGAAAAAGTTATCTTGTATATGTAGCCTAGCTACGAGTCTGTCAGTTTGTACTATAATTCACAGTGGTTAAGGAAAAATATACATTTAAGGGCTATTAAAATTAAAATAGTTTTTAAAAGTTGATCCAAAAATGTAAACTTGTTTATTGAATTTATTGATAAAAAAAGTTGCGATAGTCGAGTTCAGTTGAAGTTCACTGGGTAGAAATTATTGCGAATGTTAAGGTGTGGAAAAAAGTTCTATTCAATCATTTACCTGCTCATTCTGGATTGTAGTTTTGAAGAAATATAATTGGATGCGATTTTGTTTGACAAAAATTTTCAGTTGGGCTAATATTTGTTAAGATCTTTGATGAAAATTCATTTCATAGTGCAAGACTTATTCGTTCTGGGGATTTATTCTGAATAATATTTATGGAACAATTGGGCGATGAAAATAATTTTACATATTAAATCGCGTTTATAAATCGAACAAATTGATTACACTTTTGCAAGCTTCTTGCATAGGCTGACTAAAAATTTCTACCGAGACTCCTGGATCAAAATATTTCAGTGCACAGAATTTTTTTCAGAATTAACATGGCGGATGATGATGATAACCAGAGACAAATATCGCAGAGACCAACAAGAAACAGTGAAGAATCAGATCAAGAGGATGCAAGTAGTTTAATAAATTTTTCGGACATATTTCCGAGCAATTCTGTGACCGATGCTCCATGCTCGAGCACTGAACACACTTCAAGTGCTCGAAGTGAAAGACAGAGTTCAGAAACGTCTAATTATTTGTTAGGAGTTCCAGGAGGAAATTGTCACGAGGATGAACACTCGGAGACTGAGGAGGAGGATAACAATGAAGTTTCTCACATGCGAACAGCGTCATTTATCACTATATATTCCGAAGGTCACATGCCCCAAAAATGTCATAACGCTGGGCAAGGTGAACAAAGTGTGGACGGTACAGAATTGTCGCCAATAAACGTTACCAGAGACTCGCTAATGGAGAACGGGGCAGCGCATAATGCTGCTGATGAGGCTAGTGGTTCTGACAGTTCAGAACACCGGCAGTTTGACCGACAAGAAAGTAATGATGAAAATAGTATACTTGATGACAGAGAATTGGATTCACATGAAGTTGGACATCGAGATCATGAAAACACTGATGATGCAGAAGAAGCAGATAATGATGAGAGTGAAGAGGAATCGATGTCACGACCTTTAGTGATGAGGCGACAAACCAGTTTCCAGAGAGAACTGGCAGACGCCATTGTAAGGCTGGCTTCTATGGAAGAACTAGAGGTAGAGTGGCTGTCCATTTTATTGAAGGATATTGATGAATGATATTTCCGTCTTCAGTAGAGGCTCCAAAAATGAAACTTATTGAATTGGAAAATCTCAAGTTCTCTACCGCTTAATGATGAAAGCTGAATGTTCTTACTGAATGAAATGGTTTTACTGTAAAAGATGTATTATTGCAAAATGACCATGCGATAGAAGATTTCATTCAAATTACTCGCGCATCTCCATTTCAGTTCCTTCTGAAGTGCGGGGCGAAAGTGAGTGAGCCCGTCACACAAGGCCTGACTCCGCTCCACTACGCCGTGTGGCAGCGATACCCCGACGCTGCCGAACTGCTCATCAGAGAAGGTAAGCATTCGAATACTAGTATACTAGTTAGTAGTCGAATACTAGTATACTAGTTAGTAGTCGAATACTAGTATATACTGTAGACCTGATACCCTGATGAAGAGATAGAATAAACTGTGTGATATTTTCTTGCATATGAAGTTATGTCACCGGAAGGCTTTACCGGAAACTTGGCAAAAGCCTGTCAGATTAGTGATGGTTACAATTATTGTTTATGCTTGGCGTAAGTTCGTGATTGTTGATTGTTCAAGCGTGAAGATAGTTCATGAATGATGATTTATCATTTGTGCGGCCAGGTTGTGATCTCAATGCCCGGGACGACATCGGCTACACTCCACTCCACCTATGCGCCGAGCACGGCTACCTCGACATGATGAGCATTCTGCTCAAGCACAACGCCCGCGTCAACATCAACCAACACCGCGCCGACGATCTCTACCCTATTGATGCTGTTGATGAACCCTTAAGGCTGGCACTCAAAGTGATTATTCGAGAAATGAAGGAAATTAGTATGTAAATAACTTATTGCTTGATCCAGTAAAACAACTAAATTCAATCAAAAAAACCTTTGATTACTTTTCTTATCTTCTTGTGGCAGATAAGATATAGTAATAAATTTGTTATTTGTTCAGCCACTTCAACAAATAAATTAATAACAAATAAGATGCCATGTTCGTAATGATGATTGCACGTAATAAGAGTTTAGACTCCGATTCATAATAAACGCTTTGAAATGATGTTTAGCTGTTCCACGATGATCTAAAAATAGTTTTAATGTTTTATTGTAGTTTATTTTTGGAATTATTCTGAAGAATTCTGTATAGGTGAGGGACCCACCACGATAGCGCAACTTCCTTTGAACTTTCAGAAATAAACGTGTCGGAAAGTACCTTGTTTTTCAAAATATAAGTTTAAAACGATTCCTTGAATGATTGCTTGTGTTTTGGTCGCAGCACGACCAGATCGAGGCTGCTCGGCTCTTGCTGGAGAACAACGCTGATCCCAACAGCCGCTACTTCTTCGGCTCAGAGATCAACTTAGTAAGCCCTCTTAAGACGGAGCTGCTCGAGTTGCTGCTAAGCTGGGGGGCGAGACCAGATACCAGAGACAGATATGGCTTCACTCCAATCATGAAGGCCTGCCATGTGCAACAGGTACTCGTACATGCATCATTTCTTGCAATATATTGTAATATTGTAATATTGCTTGTAATATAGATTTTAATGGGATTACGCTTGCCAGCAATGAGTGATCCGATTTCTACTCACCCAAGACTGACCAAAAACAAAGGGAGTACATTTTCCTCCTGTTACATATCCATAGCAGCCGTACAGGATTCTTAATTTATCAGCAAAACGTTATTTATTACTGATTGTCTCATTCGTATTTCATTTTATTAGTTGGAAATATTGAAGTTATCAAAGTTAGTCCGTGTGAGTTGTGGGTGGGATGAACCTGTTCACTGTCCCTGGTCAGTTAGTAACTCAATTCTGACCAAAATTTGGATTTGAATAACCAGTAGGAATGGAGCTGCAGTATCAGAAGTATGCATTCGTACTTCCTTCTTCGCATTCATGGAAAAACGCAAAAAAATCCCGGATAGGGAACAACCTGAATTTTACACAATAATAATTTTTGTTTTGAATAAGGTAGGATTTAGCACTAAAGACTAAAGCCACCATTAACTTTCCATGATTTGAACTATAATGAAGAAATCATAACCTAACAGGAGGCGGAAGAGGCTCTGGGAGAACAGGACGCGATCTCCGGACAAGACGTACTCCGTCATTTCGCTCAGACGCTCAAGGTATGATGCCTCATTCATGTGTGCCTCATAACTTGCATATAACTGAATGTCAAACTGATTGTATGATGGCCTCGTTCATGTGTGCCTCATAACTTGCATGTAACGGAATGTCCAGCTCTTGGTGTGATGGCCTCATTTAATTTCGCCTCATAACTTGCATATAACTGAATGTCCAACTGTTGGTATGATGGCCTCATTCATGTGCGCCTCATAACTTGCATATAACTGAATGTCCAACTCTTGGTGTGATGGCCTCATTTAATTTCGCCTCATAACTTGCATATAACTTGTCCAACTGTTGGTATGATGGCCTCATTCATGTGCGCCTCATAACTTGCATATAACTGAATGTCCAACTGTTGGTATGATGGCCTCATTTAATTTCGCCTCATAACTTGCATATAACTGAATGTCTAATTGAAGGTGATATCATGCGTGCCTAATCACTTGTATTGAATTGAATGTTGCACTCATTCCCGGAATATTATTGTCAACATTCGGTGTGTAGAAATTCTTTTTAATCTAATGAATAAAATAAAATATTATTGTCACCCTTCGATGTGTAAAAGTTCTTTTTAACAAATGTCAGGACCCTTTAATTAATGCAAAAATTCTGACATACACTCGGTTATGGATCCAGAACTTTCACCGATATGATCACAGACTCGGAACAATTTGTCCAAATGTTCGTTATTTGTGCTCGTCCATGGACGAAACATAGAGCCTTATGCATTACATGAACGTAAATTTTCAAGGAGCGTAAGTAATATCCCATGCCTTCTCTTTCAGTACTTTAGTACTAGTAATCCGATCAAATAATTAATACTAAATAAATAATAATAATTGTCTCGCGATTTCAGGGCATTGAGTCGGTATTGGTGCTCATTTCTCACGGCGCCGACATCAACTTGAGAACTGACGCTCGCCACGAGTGCCGCTCTGTTCTGCACTACGCAATTCTCTCAGGTTCAAGTCCCATTGTTAACCTGCTACTAAAGCAGGGAGCCAAGGTTAACTTCGAGCCGGAGTACAACCGTGCCTCACCCCTGCACCTGGCGGTGCTCAAGGGAGATCTTACCATCATCAACATGCTTCTCGATGCCGGTGCGCTCAGAATTATTTTAGAAAACTTTAAATCATAATTGTATCGTTCATATAATGGAAGCTCTTAGAATAGAATAGAAGTGTCGGCGTTGAAGAAATAGGCCCATGGCCTGTTGCCGATTCTTGAACTTTTCGTGACTTGATTCACTCTTGCTCATAAATATTATAGAGCATGCCTCAGTTTCCCTTAGAATTACAAATTTTAACAATTTTTCAATTAAATTCAGGGTTGTTATAAAATGCAGTTACACCCGAAGCTTTATTTCAGACGGGAAAAATCAGTCGGAATTGTCTATTTTTGAATTAATTAGTGTTGAATATTGTCTTATCTCGATCATTTTTGTTCGTGTATAAACTGCTGTTGACTGTTGCAGATGCACACATCAACATCACAACCCCGACCGTGGGGAGTCCCCTGCATGTGGCCTGCAGTGAGGCCATCCCCAACAGGATGGAGGTGCTGCAGCTGCTGCTCTCCAGAGGCGCTGACCCAAACATTGTAGTGAGGAATGAGTCAGGCAGGCCTCTGAAGCCTCCTCTTGGGGAGTACCTCGCCAACTCCACGGAGCACGATGTCCAGGTCATCAAGCTGCTGCTGCGATACGGAGCGCAGGTTCGTAATGAAGAATATAATGTTGTGAACAAAGAGTGTATTGCGTTGATCTATACAAAAAGAGTATACATCTATTAATGTGCTTATAGAACTATTGTAAGAAATGGCCTTCATGGTGAAAGAAAAATTAGTTTATTATTTGCGTTTGATTTTCTACACGAGATTTTCTTCAAAAATAGTCTGGATGCAGATTCTTCGGAAATTTGCAGCAAAGAAGTGATGAAGATAGTAAAAAAAATTCTTTGTCATTCAAGTGGCCATCTTGCGGTCATGTAATGACTAGATATTTTTTAGATTGGTTTGCGGTGCGGCCGAGTGCATGAAGTTAGGAGCACCATAAGCAGAGTAGCAACCGAGTTGTATATCAGCTAAGTACAAATATTCTGGTCGATGTTGCCGGAGTGACCAAGTGGTTAAGAATAGCAATATTGATGCTTAGAGTTGTGTGTTCAAAGATACATCAAGATGTAAAAATTCTTTAAAATCGGCATCAGGCCAAAGTGCCGGAATTTGCAAATTGACGACACTATTACTACTGACAATTGAAGGCTAAGCATCAGGTAAGCATCAGTCCGTATTAACGAATCCCATTGCTTTGGGGAGTATTCTTCTCGTGAAATGACGATGATAAATGCTCCATAAATTCCGTATAATGAATTTTAATTCAATGTGATGTGCAGGTTGTAATGCAGCCTCCTCAGCAATGCCCTCTGGGCTTGGTGAACTGCCTGTATACTGTAGCCAAGAATAAAGAAGTGATGGCCGAGCTGCTGGAGGCAGCGGAGAGATTCGACGTGCCTCTTATACGCAAGACTCCCCTGCTGGTGCCGTCTGTGCACAGAGACTTCTTCCTGGAGGTGGCGTCTTCTCCTCCTCCAATGCGTCATCTCGCCAGGGTCTTTATAAGAAAAGTCAGTCCGCCTTGATGATGAGTTAATATGTAAATATTTGATTGATTGTACGAATGAAGTGTTTTAGCGTATTTTCTCATTTATGAAAAAATGCCCTATATTGTGCTCGCCATGTCCGTCTGTCCGCCCGTCCGTCTGTCTGTCTGTCCGTCCGTGACTTCATGTTTTTGTTCACGAGAAAATGCGCTCTCTGTCACTCACTGCAGTGAGTACTGAGTTATATTTTTTCTGTCTCTGCAATTCAGTAAGCGGTGAGTGTTTTGATAATTTGAATTTGAAAAACAAACCCACACCTTAATGGAAAACTATCAGGATTCTACGCAAGATAAGACTTGTGAATTTGCCATTTATGTACAGATTATCGCACTTGGCACTAAAATATCCTCCTCTAAGCAGGTGATGGGACGCCATAAGCCGGCTGCCATTGAGGACCTCGCTCTTCCGCATCTGCTTAAGAAATATCTTTTGTACGAAGTCAATTAATGTACATTTTACATTTGGTAATATCAACGATTTGTCTAGTTAGTTAAGTGATATGCTCGTCAAATAGTTGTTTACATTTATTGCCTTAGAGCTAATCATCTTCTTTCCTACTTGCCACATGTTGGCTTACTGCTAATTATCTGAATGTGCCTATAGTAGGCATGAGATGCAAACAAATAAAGCAAATCTTATTCTCAGAATTATATTTTATTGTTATTCACCGAGAATATCCAGCTAATATATTTTTCATAGAAAGAAGATTTCGTGGCAACTTCAACATGTTTGTGTCAAAATTTGTATCGGTATATTATTCTTAATGTTTATTGTTCCTTTTAAATAGTTCGCTTAATGAGATTATTTGAGTACACGGCTCGTTATCGGACACGTTCCATGGTTAGCTGGTCGACAGCATGCCTACTGCGATACACCGAACGCTGTTTGCTGGATCGCAGCGCAGCTTTCTTCATTGGTTCATTCGACCTTAATAGGAAATAGAGACACCACGACAAGAATTTCATATACAGTATTAAAAGTACGCAGTTCTAACGTTATAACGGAGTCATGTCGATGGTATCCATGCTTCTCACCCGGGCTGAGAAAGCAATGCAATCCTTGAAAATTTGCTTTTAATTCGGTCTCGCCTTTCTTTCAATAATTCATTCTTGCCAGATTCGAGTTATGCTTACCTATGTGAATTTTTGATGCACTGCTAAACGCAATCAATGAGTATTATGGTTTCTAGGATGAGAGACGTCAGGTCATTCGACTGCGTTCGAATTGAGACTACTTTAAATGTGAATGGTCAAACTGATCTCACATATAAGTTACGTTCGATCACAATTTGTTTCAGAACAGTTCTCTTGTGGTGCCATGGGCTTAGTTGATGGCTAATAGAGTTTAATTAAGCATCAGATGTCGCTCGTTGCCTAGTAATTTTTACATGTCCTCATAATTGCTACGTTGTGAAGGAAAAGATGAACGCTAATTGTCAGATGTAATAATTTTTGAGAAAGTTTAATTTTTGACTTCCTTTCCGCTATTTTATGCGATTCTAGGATAGTTTACGAACCAACGAAGTGGAAATATTGTTATTCTGCCTCCAAGGAATTTGTTACTTTTCCAACATTAGTTTAGTGCTTTATTGCGTGATATCAAGTTACATTTAATATGTAAAAATGCATATTTCGAGAAAATAAATATTGGACCTCAATCGCTCTTACTTACATTTTTCCTCCTTATTCTAAGACTGCAGAAACTTGAAGTTCCCGTAAGAGTTTGAGAAAAGTGTTATAAGTCTATAATGTCCGAGATCTGAATGAATGTTAACAAAATATTGCATGATATGACGGACGAAAATGAGCCTTAACGTGCTCTCCTTGAGCGGCGTTCTGCATAGGGTGCTTTGAGCACATAGAAAGTTCTACCTCGTATGCATCAGGGTTATCACGTATACGGGAAACAATCATGAAAACATGGAATTGCGTTAATGAGGGAAAAAAACATATTACACTTGAAAGTTCCTAGGCTATAGAAATTACTCCCTTCAAGGCTGCTTATGCGCTTTTTGCCCACCAGTGATTCCCGAACTGAAAGTCATGATCTTAAAATGAGTCATCTGCCTTTTTCTGCAAGTGATGGAGGGTTAAACTGGGTGTACTACACTTATCAGACCATATATTATCTAAACTATTTAACAGCTCACTGTTATCAACATGAGAGGCCCTAGATATGATAAAAAATATCAAGCTTTTCAATATTATATTATGGCAGACGCCAGCACGGATGATGCTCCCTGCTCCTATATTTATATAGCTCGAACCCTATTCAGGATTTACTAGTCGAAAGGAAGAATTCGGATGCAATTACAGCACATAGTGGCTGGTCCACATCAATGCATGGTCAGCATTAAGACTCTTGCCCGAAGACGCTCAATATGCTGCTCTCAATACCACTTTTGGAAACTGAACTGTGATGCGCATCGTAAACCATATTAAAGGAGACGTTCTTAACACCAGTTTATTTCATATGTTGTGACAAGAGATGTACTCTGCCTATCAAGACAGACTTCTTCTTCTTCACCTGCAGCGTCTTCGTTTAAGATTCTGAATTGATAAGATAAGAATTTCTAAAATTAGAATTAAAATAAAAATTAGCTTTATGTCTGAGGGTGAACGTTGCCCACCTTGAGCACGATAATAGTTGATTTCATTCATACATGTAGTATTTTGGTTCATTGCAACCTAAGCTATTATTAGAGTAAGTAATCAAGTGTAGGAACTGTCATTCTGTACTAATTTATTTTGTTCGATGTCTGAAATTATTGGGAATGTTTTAAATAGTTTAATTTACATTTATATTTATAACTTGTAACGATTTGTTACTTATACAGGGTTCAATACTTAGACCGAACAACAGAATGGAAAGCATCATCCTTTTCTTATCTCAAATCTAATCCTTGGAATTGGCAGTACTCCTTACATCATATTATCGAGGCATTGATAGTAAAGCTAACTCTCTGTAAAAGGAAAGTCGAAAGTATATGAATTTTCCAGAGTACGTTTGAGGAGGTCAGAGATGTAGGAGAGCTGCTTCGAGCAATATTGATACACTTGTTTATTATCCAAGAAGAGTTCAGTCGCTATTTTCGTGATAATAATGAAAATGTTCTGATTAATTAAACAACACCATATACATCCAAAGCAGAGATCCAGGAATAAAAACAGTTTAGCAGCTCTAAATGGTGGACCAATGTTCGTCCTGCTTTCCTCTAGATCAACGAATCCACGTAGAATGTTCACATATCTTTCTCAACCAACCCACTCTGTGAGAGTGATTTCCCTACCCTCCCGGTGATCTAATCAAAGGATCCAAACAAGTTGATGTAATAGCACTCAAAACAAGCTCATTAACCCGCGTATTAAATTGCTCGTAGCAATGATGCATGCAACGGGAACCAATGATAGATTTATACGGAATGTTTATTTTAATCATTTCTGGTGTCACATCCATTGAGCTGATAACATATTTGTTCCTAATGAGCATCTGAGACAACACAGAACTGACGTCATCATAGAGCTATTCAGTTATTTGTTTTAACTGAGCACTTAAAAATCGTAGCATTCACCTCAGGCATTGAACTGGTAATTTATTTTCAAAAAATTCTCTCCTCTTTGTTCAGTTTAAAACAAAATTCAGTTTGTTTATTCAACTCCAAAATCAGTATGTATTTATTTATTATATCATCAAGGTAAATGAACAAAGCCCATAAGTTATTTTCAGCTTATTTATTATATAGTACAAGGTATTAACAAAATTAGGACTTTGAGAAAATTAATCTTCTCCCACGCAATGGGAATACAAATTATCTCACTGTAAAGCTGTATATATGTATATTGAAGAAAAAATTACAATTTACAAATACTGAATATAATATCGATATATTAAAAATAAAGTTCTTCAATCTGATATAATCAACCCGCTCAAAGAGATCGGTTGCCTCCAATAACAATAAGAAATATACGATATTTCAAGGTCTTGTAATCGAACGGCAACCAAATATGGTATTTGATTTCATGTCAATCATACTTTTCACTAAGCAGCAAAGTAAACAGTGTCAAATTACAAACATTAAATTATATTAGATTTTGTGAATCTAAAAAAATAATATAATAATATATATACTATATTTGTATTTTTATGAGACTAACACATAACGCACCTTTGACTATATTAAGAAAATCAATTTAGCCAACATTTAAGTTAGTTTTTGAGTTAGTTTTTGCGTAAGCCTTTAGTATTCTCCATAGATACGAGAACACGTGCGTACCTAACATTAAAAAGATTCTATACAACGCAGGAAAGATTGGATTAAACTCTAATCGTATGGTCTAGGCATAGAAAATAAATTCATTCTAATTATATAATGTAATACACTGACTAAACAGTTGATCAATCACAACCTGATATGCATGTATCACACAAAGATCTCTGCCTGCACTTCAAAGTCACAGTTCTCAATTGGAACTGGGAACTTCTTTAAGAGAGAAGAACAATTCAACAAATTCTGCAAAACTCTCTGATGACCGCTGATTGCCGAGTTACCCCCCTGCAGCCGAAGCCTGCCCCGGGTACGTTGGTTAAAATTTCTACGGAACAATTTATATTCAAGGAAGAGATAATAAAGGATTGAATATTCATAGTTGCAAGTTTCAGACGCGGGAACACTGAACACATTAACTATTTTTTATTCTGCCAGACCGTACTGAAGTAGCGCTGCGCAGCGCCAAGAACGAGAATAACCATCTCTGTAATTTATTTATTACATACTGTTCATATTTACTTTGTACAGTTCATAACTTTAATGTTTCATTCAATGAGACAACAAAATAAGATATAACCGCTGAGCGTTATAGAGACATAAAGGCAAATAAATAGTCGCCAACGTGTGAAGGTTAACTAATTTCGTACAATAAATATTTGCTGATGACTGACGGGAGCGCCATCTTGAGCACTGACTCAGGACGAGAGGTGGCCGAGTCCTGCAAATGCAAAAACAATAATTGACAAATTAACTCTTCTCACGTGGGAAAATTAATCTTAATCGGACTATCTCAAGGCGCTATAAATTGTTCAGAGTTAGACGGGCTTTCTTCAGTTCAAATTACGAATAATGAACTGTGAAGTATGAAACATTGCGCATATATGTTCTTTGGCTATTGGCTGGAATTCCAGTTATCAGCTCTTTGTTTACGAATATCAATGACACCATTGACCACTGACCACTAAACGTATCTTTTAAGCAGTGAATGGTTCGAAAAATGAAAAGTCGAGTTGAAAAAAAAAAACGAAAATACGAAATATTCAAGAGCTCACGGCATCAAACTAGATCGGTCTGTATTAACTGCTAATGCTATTAACTATAACTGACATGTCTGATGGCTATCCTGCTGATGTGTCTGAGCGGCAAAGGCGACCCAGCAACTTCTAGACACAGCCTGCGCTGTTCTGTGTCCAACAGAGACGTGTGTCTGATGAGGTGCAAGTCGAATTGCTGCGCGCCCTCCAGCAGTTCCTCCAGCATCAGTGGGTGCTCCCGTAGGGACGACAAGCAGCCTAGCAGACCAAGAGGGCTGGTTTGCGAGCTCTTTAGAATCACCTGCAACAGAAGACAGGCCACTATGATTAATAACAACTGGACATTTACAGTACTCCTTTGTTTAGAACAGCTTTCAACAGATAGACAGAACAATTCCAACCACATCGTTAAATTTTTTTATAACATTTTTCACAGGTATCCGCTTATGCTAACTAACTTTACGTTGACTTTTGTCATTAATTTTTAAGTGTTCACCTCAGCGCCGTATTTGAGCAGCAAGTTAATGACGCTGGGATCATGTTCATCACTGGCAGCGAGGTAGTCCCCTAGAGGAGGCAAGATTGGGCTTCCGTCCAGACCAGGTACCACAATATTGGGGTCTGCTCCCCTGTCCAAGAGGAGCTCCATCACTTCGAGGCGGTTGTGGACCTTTTCACTGCAAGCCATGTGCAGCACAGACCCAACGAGGGAAGTGCTGCTGTTGATATCTGCTCCTAGAATATCCACGTAGAATTCATGAGTTGAAAATACAACATTATTTCACAGAGACCTAGAGCAACTCCGGTCGCTATCCGATATTTTTGAGGGCAGTATCCTCTTATGGAATAAGGCTTAATTATCTATTTTTTTCTGCTTGTATAATACTTCTTTATGTGAGTAATAATTTGATACTATTATTCATGTAATCGTTAATATAACCGAGTCGTCAAATATGTGTAATCGAATTCTAGAAATTAACAAAAAACTTTTATGGACCCTTATGGACCCTTATGCAACTTGACTCAACTCTTGGTTGTTTCACTCATAGTTTAGAGTCTGGTGGCCAATGACGTAATTGTAAATACCTTTTGCTTATTACAATACTAAGTACAGACTTGTTTCATGTTTATCTTTTAGTTTGAGCGTATTTCTCACCGTGATCCAGCAAAATGTTGATAACTTTGATGTCACCGCGTCTGACAGCGAGGTGTAGCGGCGTAGGCTTGTTGTACTCAGGTTCGTAGATGATTTGCGCGCCGCTGTCCAGTAGGACGTGGATGATGTCCACGGAGCCTGACAAGACAGCGTAGTGCAGGGCTGTCCTGATATGCATACATTTCAAGTGTTAGTAGTGCATGTGCCTCATTGTGCGCTCACTTCTAATTTCTATGCATTTCGAATTATTATTTTTCAAGAATTTCAAAGGCTGGTCCTCCGCTGTCCGATAGGCAATACTTTTATTCCAGTTTGTGACTGCTTGGGGAACGTTAACTCGTGAATGTCCGTATTTTAATGTCTTGGTTGAGTAGTGAATAAGCAAAAATTTTGATGGTGCTGTTGGCAAATAAAAGCTCTTTAGTAATTCCATGCTCTTCATAATATTTACCTCGAATCATGACGAGCGTCAGCTCTAATATTGACGTCTCCTCCGTAGGATAGTAGCAATAGTAAGCTCTCCATTCCCTGTAAAGTAGGAGACAAAATTCAATTCGAAGTTTAAGTTCTAATTAACGCAATTGAGCTATAATCAATAAGACGAGGAATAAAAATAGAATGATTCTTTCTTCGTGATTTATTTTATTTTATATATTATTTTATTTTATCTATTATTTTACTTATTATTTTATAGTATTTTATTTCATTTTAATTTCATTTACAGAATCATCCGAATACATGAATACAAGTTTAGTGTTTCAAGCTTGCTTGAAGCCTAAATCTACATCAATACCGGCTAATATTTGATCATTTCTCCACTAATTCATCCTCCACCAATCAATTTATCCGAGCTAATGAGAGATAAATCAGACGGCTGGAATTTCCAATTCACAAAAACGTCCATTAAATTGTGGATTGAATATTTAGTCTAAATTCAACAATGTCTTCGAATAGCGGAACTTGAATAAAATGTATACGATAAACAAAACGAATCGATCGACATAACGTTAGCTGCATTGTTTAAGATGAGGATAATCGAAGTTTCATCAAACGCTCACTGATATCATCAAACGCTGAACTGATAATATTCAATACTTAACAGCAAATGAACAGAGCGCACCTGCTTAAGTCTACAAGCCTTCATGATGGGAGTGAGGCCATTGCGGTCTTGTTCGTTTACGTTGGCGCCGTGCAGCAGCAGCAGCTCCAGCATCTCCGGCATCAGCGGACTGACCAAGTTGATCTCAGAGCCGAAGAAGTAGCGCGTGTTGGTGTTAGCACCGTGGTCGAGGAGTAACTTAGCTGCCTCCTTGTGTCCGTACTGTGGTCATGGAATATAATCTCATTAGTTACCCGTGCTCTAGACAACAAGATTGAGATAAAACACATACTGGGAGAATACGAGTAGTTACGATGGAGCTTTCACTTTGAATTATGCATATAATGTAGTGGATAGCAGGCATTGTTACATGATCAAATTAATTTTAGGGAAACAAAATTAGAGACGTTTTTCCATTTTCATCAACTTCAAGATGCTTCTAGAACGACAATTTTCGATAGAAAAATTCACTTGCTGTACGAAAGAGTAATTTCGATGATACTTTTGATGATATCAAACATTATCTAATAATTGATACTTGTGGAAGAACAATCGGGATTGTACTATTGTAATAATAATAATGATAATAATTCAGCGATGGTTGCAGTGCAAAGATTTTGTAAACATTAACATCCTTATGTAAACTGAAAATACATTAAATTACTTTAATTGCGAGTCTGAGCGGTTCTTCGACGGCATCAATCGGGAATTTATCATCAGATTGAGAATCGTTGAAGTTAACTTTTGCACCGTGCGCTATGAGCAGCCTCATCATCTCGGTGTAGCCGTGGCGTGCAGCCAAGTGTAGCGCGGAGTAGCTGTAGTCGTCCAGCGCATCAACGTCGTAGCCTGCGTTAGAACAACAGTAAGTAGCCTGCTACAGTATAACAGTAAGTAGCCGGCTACAGTACAACAGTATATACTGTAGCCTGCTACAGTACAATAGTATATAGCCTGCTACAGTACAACAGTATATAGCCTTGTACAGATAACAGGAAATAGCCCGGTACATTATAACAGTAAATAGCCTGGTACAGTATAACAGCTAATAGCCAAAGTACATAACTGCAGTAAATAACAGGATTTCTTCAATACTCTGCCTGAATATCGAGTCATCAGACAATAAGTCTATGTCATAATAAGTCAATAAGTCAATAAGTCTATGTCATGAGGCAGATGAATTCATTTATGACGAAATTAAATTCACATAATTCCAGGAAAAATTTAATGCATGGATCATAAACTTAAAGTTAAGTATCATGTGTCAAGTAATTAGAAGAAAAACACAACAATAACCTTGTTGTAGCAACAGCTCCGCCGCCTCAGGGTATCGCTGCCACACGGTGTAGTGAAGAGGGTTGGGCTTTCTCGCGGACGGGTCTATGAGCTTTGCTCCAGCTTCCAGAATAACTTTGAGCTCATCGAGAGGCGACTGATGAACGATAGCGTCCGATAAAACCCTTTCAAACGTAGTGGATCTTTGAAGCACAGGAGGAACTGGCTCCTGGCTATCATCAGCTTCTTCGTCCAATGGAAGGAGGTCTGCCGAGTGCGAGTGTCGGATGTTGTACCTGCGAAGGGACGCTGCGATTTGGTCGCTCATCGTCCTACGTAAATCATTGTCCAATTCTGAGGGGCTCGAGCCATAACTTCCGTTGTCTGACAGGTAGTCGCTCTCTGTTAACTCATCCGAAAAGTCGACACTAGATGCTTGTGATTCCAACGTGTCATGGCGTTCGCGAAGAATTCTTGGACGAGTAAAATTTTGAAATTGGTCGTCCTCAGCTGACTCAATCCGTCCTCGAGGTACGTCCATTCCAGTAAGTCCTGGGACCGGAACAACAGGTCAGAGATTGTTACGTGCGTATTTATAATGAATTCCAATGATAACAACATGTTTATTTCTAATGAATTCCAATGAGCTTGACCTGAATTTTCCGCAAATTAAATATGGATGAATTAAGTTGAAATTGGAGGGATAATTTAATTGTAGGTTACGTGTGTTATCAAAGTTCCAAGTGATACTTTCCTTTACTTTTAATTGATTACATAAAATTGTTGTATATGTATTTTCGCTACAACTACAAGCCACTCATTCTCAGCCATGAACTCTAAGACGAGGTCAATAAAGTGTGAATTAGAGCCTCCCAAACGTTGGTTTCGCCGCGTCAGTAAGACCACGAGTCGGAAAAGGTCGCTGCCCCTGAAATAATCATGCGTAAGAAAGCTTAAGGCATATATATTTCCTAATTTTAACTCTTGTCGCAGAGTGTACAAAGAAAGCTTAAGACGGAGAGTGAGAACAGCACACGTGCATCAGCAGCCGGCAACTTGCCAGCCATTGCCACGCAACAATTATTATTGGTGCAGTGACGCTCGCTCTCACGTGATTCCCGGACCTAAACAACAGCGTAGGTAATTCTACGAAAGGAAATGCGTTACATTTCAATACAACACATCGGAAATGAACCGCAAAATTAACGTCAACTGCGAAGGGCTAACCATTAATTGCCTTAAATGAACTGCTGATTCGGAAGACAATTTGGCCCGGCATATAGTTATTGATTGCCTAATGTTAAAAAATAATCAGATGCTCTTCGTAACCAAATTTCGTTCATTTCGTAATCATATGATTCTTCGTAAGAATATGATGTCATTCTGTGTAAACATAGCTTCATCAGAAAAATTTTAACTTTGTCAGATACGTACATACGCTTAGTATGAATTTAGATGTAGACCGGGGGTAAATAATATTAGTTTAAAAATTACTTTTTAAAGACAACACTTCTAAAGGGGCAAGTGTCCTTGATGTTACGCATGTGCAATGAACTTCTTATTTTATTTTTAAACATTAAAACAAATTAATTTTTTAATATAAAAAATTATATTTTTTAAATTATTGAATTTGTCAACTGAGTCATGCATTGTCTCCGACTTTACCCAAGTGTGCAAAATTTCAGATCGATTGGACAGGTAGAAGTGTGTTAAATATCGATTTCAAGATTTGTAGCAGACAAACAAACGAACAACAAGAAGTGAAATTAAAGAGAAGTGTTGCAGAACGAAGTTCGAAATGTAAGTCATGTGAATGGAATTGTCGTAGGTTAAATATATATAATAGTTCAAATTAACTTTTCTCTTTTCTTATACGAAAGGTGAGGAATAACGAAGAGTTATGAAGGGAGTAGCAACGTTGGTGTTAATGAGTATATTGAAAATCATTCAGTTCTATCACGCAGCATTTTATCAGTTTTATCATTTTATCATTCAGTTCTTTACAGTTAATACGCCTCGTAACTTTACAGTTAATACGCCTCGGAACTTTACAGTTAGTACGCCTCGAAACTTTACAGTTAGTACGCCTCGAAACTTTACAGTTAATACGCCTCGTAACTTTACAGTTAATACGCCTCGGAACTTTACAGTTAGTACGCCTCGGAACTTTACAGTTAGTACGCCTCGGAACTTTGCAGTTAGTATGCCTCGGATTTTGCAGTTAGTACGCCTCGGAACTTTACAGTTTGTACGCCTCGGAACTTTACAGTTGGTACGCCTCGGAACTTTACAGTTAGTACGCCTCTGAAATTTACAGTTGGTACGCCTCGGAACTTTACAGTTAATACGCCTCGGAACTTTACAGTTAGTACGCCTCGAAACTTTACAGTTAGTACGCCTCGAAACTTTACAGTTAATACGCCTCGTAGTTAGTACGCCTCGGAACTTTACAGTTAGTACGCCTCGGAACTTTACAGTTAGTACGCCTCGGAACTTTACAGTTAGTACGCCTCGGAACTTTACAGTTAGTACGCCTCGGAACTTATGTTCGATTCTTGAATCTCTGATTGTGTTTTGTGCCTCAGAACGCCGAGTATTGAGCATCAGAATGATTCGGACTTCAATGGTTAGCGTGAACAGAAAGGATTGTATAATGATAAAATAATATCGTTGTAACCGTCTAACAATAGACAGTTTCGCTCCTATAAAATCAACTAACTCTCTTGACTGATTTTATATTTTATATTTTTATATAATTTCTTGTTTTATAATTATTTAATGATATTTATATAAAATGATTTTATATTTTATATTATTTATTTATATATGTAGCCCCTGAACGCAGTTCGAGTCCAAAAGTGACAAAGTGTTTTTTAACAATTAATTAGCCAAGTTTGCTTGTGTGTGATATATTTTCAGGATTGAAATTTCGTTCGTCTCTAATCATTTCATATTTAAGTATCTCAAAAATTATTCATAATAAACTACAAAATGTAAAGTATTGGTATAAACAGCATAAATGACCGTCAAAGAAACTCCATTAGTTAACAATCAAAATATCAATATGCTCAAAGTAGGGATAGGGAATAATAAAATAGGGAACAGGTAATATTATTATTTATTAATATTAAAAATTTTTAATGATATAAGTTGTATTCAGCTTTGTTTGGTTATGAAACGCGATAAATAGAATGCAGCCCCACGATCGCCTCTCAGGGCGCTGGCCTTGCTATCAATAGCCCAACACCTGGTCTTTCTCTCTTTCTCTCTGCCACATCATATTCCCTCCTTTTCTTCCATTCTATTGCATCATCCTTTTCATTTGACCCCTTACACTCATCTTCACATTAATTTGTGTCCTTTTCTCTCTCTTCCTTCTCATATTTCCTCGGATCTTTATCTGTCTCTAATCTCTAATCAGTCTTAATTTTCTTTATCTCATTCTATATCTCTCTCTCTCTTTCTTCCTACAATTCTTTCGTCTCTCCCTACTTCCTCTTTGCGTTTCTTCCGTCTCTTCCAACTCACTAATTTGTATTCATCCGTCTCTTTCTCCTCCGCTCCTTCACTAAAATTTCAGCTAAAGATTCTTCGTTTCAAACATTTGTTTGTAAATAAAATTTTGAATTCTGCCCTCTCATTGAATGATTTTTACAACTGCAAATTTTTAAGACTTTCTACTCAAACTCATGCAAATAAAAGTTTAACTAATCTCATGCGAACATTTCCCATATCATCCGTGGCATTATTCCCTTTATTTATAGCCTAGTTTCGTATAGTTTTAGAAATCATCGCTTGCTGGTAATATTAAACCGAAGAAACAATGAGTATTGAAGTTGCTAGGATGAAAACTTGCAAAATAAAGTTTGGAAAGTTACTCCGCGCATTTTACCACAATGTGCATTTTGAATAGTCATGATTTAATAAATTTTACAATTGAATTCTCTTTGTTTTGTAAAAAGATTGTTTCTGTAAATAGATCCACTAGCTTGATTTTGTTTACATGATCTATACATACATGTTGTGATTGAACAATAACCGATCTATTGATGTCAACGCGTAAGTTCACAATGCATCTCAGTGTTCTTTCATACCAGTATTAACAAACTCTCTACTGCCAATTTAAACAAATTCACACATGTATTAACAAACTCCCTACTGCCAATTTAAACCAATTTTTCTCAAACTATTTTCGTCTCAGTCTCAAATCTGTGTGGAAGTATAGGTCCAAGAGCGGATGCTACTTACCGCTTATAGGCAGGGTTAAATCTCCGAAAAGCTTCAACTTCTCTTAGATAAAATATTGTTCTATCACTTTCACAAGAACTTTTAATGGAGGAACCGTTCAACCTGATGACCACTGTAAATTAGTTTGCTTGCGTTAGTTGCATACAGTAACGTGGCTTGAAATTCAATGTCTGGGGCGGCAGGGTAGCACAGGCTTTATATAGCAAGGGAAGGTCTACCAAAGAATAAGAAATGAAAGGGACGGCTCTGTGCGCCGCATCGAAGCGTCGCAGAAACGTGTCGTGAGACGCAGGCATGCGCGTTGCAACTGCGACGCTCAAGCTGAATATACCTACAAGATATAAACGTTTGAAATAACTAAAAAGTTATCGTAATATAGGATGCAGAGGCGTTATTGTGAATATGGTTGCCGTGGAGCCTTTTCACAATAATTATTGTATAATGCGTTGCGGTATGAATTGATCACGCAGCTGCCAAAGTAGAGCAACAAGGTGCGCAGTACACCACGTGCGATCCATAGAGTGCCTCAGATCTTTTATAATAAATTCATATATCTCTTTATAGTGGCAACTCAGACGTGTAACACTGATTATGTTAGTGGTCTAATTGATATATTATCGATGTTTCTCCATTTTACATTTAATATATTTTCCTCTCTCTATCTTTCTCGTACGTTGATCCCACTGACGCAACATGACAGAAGCATGCGGAGAACAACGATAATGCCGAGAATTAAAGTCCGACTCTTTAATTATATTTTTAGAGCGTTGGCTTCACTAAACGTAATACGAAATTAAGGCGCAGCGGCGTGCTACACAGATCGAGATGCAAAATATTGGTTTAATGGAGCAAGAACGACCGTTGTATATCGATTAATCGCACTAACGATTAGTTACTTACTCATAAAATCGTGATCGTATTAATCGTGACTAACCTGCGCATAAAGAACTTTTCATGCAGGATCATCAACGATGGTTGAAAAATGCATCATGCTTATCTGCACTAAAATCTTCGTGCATCTCTAAAATCAGCCAAGAGAGTTTATTCATTTTGTAGGAGCAAAACTGTTTAGTGTTATACGGTTAAAAATATATTATTTTATCATTATACAATCCTTTTTGTTCACGCTCATTAATGAAGCCCGAGTCGGTTATAATTTTCCACATTTCGCTATATTTCATATTTCGTTCCAATTTCGTTCGGAACGCATATTAGACTCTTTCGGGGGTTTTCACTCCGTTTCTTTTTTCAACAGGATATTAAAATTCTAAACTCACATTTTTATAAAGTGAACGAAAGCTGGATGTCATTAATTGTATCTGATTCTAAACCAGTCGTTGAATGGGAGTGCTATGCTTATTAGAAATCCTCGTGAAAATTTTCCAGTCCAATTTTTACATGTTCTAAAAATATGCCGATTGGTTGATTTGTGAGCTGAAACAGCGTTGAGAAATAACCTCAACAATACTGCCATAAAGAATTACTAATTCTCTAACAAATTAAAGTGTATTCCGCAACTCACTACAAACTAATCGTGATTTAGTTCATTTGAAAAATTACGGAGTATTCCACAACTCACAACTATAGCGATCGATCCTCGCTTGTTTTGTCTTCTTTATAAGCAATGGAAGCGTCAGTTTATACTAGTCTACATTTACTGTGTGTTCCTTGTTTGTGTACTAAAATTAAGATAAAATATAGCGAACGAAATAAATTTGAATGGCATCTGACTTGAAAGTTATGCTGTAAACAAAAATAATGTAAATTGAAATCATATTAATGGAAATGTATTTAGACGTAAACAAATAAAATAGAATGGAGTAAAGAGAATTTGCAGAATATCATACATCAAAAATTCAGAGACGGTCGTTAGTTAGTTTTTGTTATAGAAAGAAAAATTTTCCCCATTAAAAATTGAAATTTTTCAGTTTTATTACAAAATGAGAAAACACAACTGCCCGAAATAAAATAATCGAACCTCCCCTCAATGTTGAATTTCTATTTTTCTCTCCTTTTTGGGTCCAATAAATCGTATGAACCGCAGACTATTTGTTCAATTATTCATGTCTCCAACACATCAAATGAACTGCTGACTATTTGTTAACTTCACGCGGCTTTGCTGAGCTCCAATGTCCAACCGCAATGGACCAAGGCCGTGATCGAACGGGCGGCGCTCCTGATTGGTATAGTTTTGAACATTTCGTGCAATGTTCATTTAATTGTAATTTTGAAAGATACGCGGTATTTCAGTTAAATTTAAAGAGAGGACTCGAGGTAGTCATCAGAAGTTTGTATATTTACATGAAGCGAGAGAGAATCGTGATGTCTGTTGCTCTGATACGATATAACGCAGGTGCACTCGATCAGGCTGCACACCTGAACCCATTAGCGTTTGATATGTTGCCATATAATTTAACAGCAATTACAGCTGCTGGCTACTGAACACTTGCTGTTAGTGCGCACGTGTCTGAAAACTTTCCAAACTGAATTTCTGGAACAGAAACTAGCATATCTTAAATAAGTTCCAATATAATGGTCTGTATCTTTTGAGAAATCATTCGTACTTCTCTCAAATGAGCACCGTTCTATCCTGAGAAAGTCATCATAGGAAAATATAAAATAATTTATATCAAAATAATAGGTCAAAAGGGAATAATAAGCTTATTAATATCACTAGACGATGCTTATTATATTCATGCATTTCTCCATCAAAGGATTCATTCTATATTAAAAATAAACATTTACCCTCATCATGTGTTAAATTTAAATTTGTCGGTCACCAAATATTCGCAAACAAGATTGCAGTTAGTGTAAAAGCTCTCCCTCGCCGAACAATGTTTGCGTACACTGTTAACGAATTTTAGCAATTTTCAGAAACTGGTGAGAACGTTCGGAAAGCTCAGAGAGGACCATCAGCGACCGATGGTTAGGGATACATTTTGTTTTAATTTAATTGTAATAGGTACCCTATTCAACGCACTAAATACACATTTCACTAAACTTCAAAGTTATTGAGCAAAGTTATTTTTTCATAACGTTTTAACGTCAATGCCGCTAAGTCGGTAGTAGTTTTGTTCGATAGAAACGATTTATGTCACGAATGAAGCCGAAGCGCAAATTTGTGGAAACTCTATCCAGCTTCGTAATTTTATGTGGTAATCGAAACTTGTAAATCGTTATTAGAACTTGTGTCATACGGTTGTATGGAAGATCGGCGAATAGCGTGCAATATATGCCGCGTGGCGACTCATGTGTCATGGATAGTAGCTATAATAAATTCAACTCATTTTTTTATTGACGATTAGGTGAAAAATGTTGTCGTGATCAAATTTTACTTCACATATACTGCTTAAGTGTGACTTTTTATTTTATTGTGAGATGTACAACTGGGTCATTAGGTGGGGAAGTTTGTGAGGTCCTGTTCAAAGCGAACGAATTCCATCCGCGCACTGATAAGGTCATGACAGCAGTGTCGCCAGCTCATGAGTAGAGTCGATGTTCTTTCAATTTACTAATAAATTGGCCAGGGTCTCTTGTCGCACTTGTTTTCTTACTTTTAAAATCGAACATTCCAGCATTTTTTTTTCTTCGCTCAAAGTTACTCATTTTCTGATAGTATCACTTTCAACGCAGTACAAATCGGGTTTTCAAAAATCTTGAAATCATGTCGGGATCCTCGTGGAATGCTCGAAGTATGCTTGTAGATGTGCTAGGGCAATGCGAATGGCAGTCCATCCTGGATGTTGAATGTTTTACAACGGGTTGAAGGCTCGCAAGAGTGCGAGGACGTTAGCTAGCAACACTTGATGGGTTTTAATTGGAATGATTATTAGCAGAGAACATGCATTCCGGCTTCGGATCTTTATTACGAGATTCTATAGCACGCTTTGGAGATTATTACTTATTTTTAATGACGAATAACTCGTTAGGACATCATGTGATGGTCACAATCGTAGTACGCTTCATTGACGAATATGGTATTTGAATAAAATTCCAAACATGGTGAAGAAATTTATCCGGAATTCATACATTTTTACTATATTTCGGGTAAAATTCAGAAATTTTATAAGGTCCTTATGACTTGAATGATCGGATTCAAATCTCAATCACTACACGCAAAAAGGACTTGAAACACAAAATATTTTTAAGAATTTGTGTTAAAAGATGCAAATTTTATTCTTCGGTATTTCCACGCAAAATTTAAGGAAGACAATATACGCGAAGACACAGCAGAAAGTTCTATGAGCTCCATTTTTTAGAGATTACCACACCTGTATTTTCATTCTATATTTGGCAATGAAAAATACAAGTAGATAACACAAATACACGTAGAAAATACAAGTAGATAACGCGAGAAAATTTTCCTGCATTAGCTTTTCCTACGGGAGCTTGTACAGAATTTTCTATGCAACATCTTTTAGTCGTAGTACACGTAGACTGAGGCTACGGCCGAGCTCTCGCACACTGCCGTGGCAGCGTCGTACGCGGCGTCCATGGTGATATTGCAGCCTGTGGTCGAATACTGGAACATCGTGGCACCTGTTATAAGGCAGATATAAATCAATTTTAATTATTATTTTTATAAAAGAAATTAGCAATTGATAAGTGAGTAAATTAGAGGCACGATTATATTGCGGGACTTGAGACCAGCACATCATCCGAGCAAAAAGTTAATGATCAGTGATTTATTTTTATACAAATCGTGTTAATCATGAGATATTGTAGGTAAACAAGCATTATAAAAAATAAAATAGTAAAATAATACAAGTAAAATAAATAACTTAGATTTGTAATATAATTCACGATCCTAAGTCCGTGATCTTCGATCATATATTCACATATAGTTAGCACTGTTCTCATGGAAATGTACATCGAATGTACCGTAAAATCCAACTCTTTCGGAAATTGTTTGTTTGTAAAAATTATTCTGTACGGAAATATTTAATGAAATAAACGGACAGCAGCAGAATTATACACAATATACAGCATTAATACACGGAATAAAAAATTCGTAATTACAGCAGTGGCACATGAAATAATAAATTCATAATTACAATACTAACACTAAAAAAATCATTTCTCAGGAGTGAAATTTTTAAAAAGTTTCAATTGCACTAGCTTTCTCAATCTCGCGTATAATATTCATTAAATATGCTGTTACACATCAATTATTATACTGATTTTATGGCAAATAATATTACGCAAACAAAAACATCCCTAAATGTTAGAAAATAACTGATTATTTCATATTAACCTGCACTGTCGGCCGCAAAAGCACATTGAACAGTGCTGCCCACGTTGGCCACGTTAGTCCAGGAGACCGTCTTGTTGTCGGACGTGGAGAAGTAAGTGTACCCGTGCGTTTCGTCAATCGCCACATTGAAAACTTCCGCGTTGACCGTGTTCGCTGCAGCGATGCAGCTCGTAAAGAGACTGCTCTTCACGCTGCTGTCGAGCTCGTACTGCAAATTGCATTTTATTCTGTTCACATTTAGACATCTAAATAAATCACGCTGCTGTAGAGCTCGTACTGCAAATTGTATTGCATTCTGTTCACATTTAAACACCTAAATAAATCACTCTGCTGTAGAGCTCGTACTGCGAATTGCATTGTATTTTGTTCACATTTAAACACATTAAAAGTTCACGCTGCTGTAGAGCTCGTACTGTAGATTGCATTGTATTTTGTTCACATTTAAACACATAAATAAATCGCGCTGCTGTAGAGCTCGTACTGTAGATTGCATTGTATTCTGTTCACATTTAAACACCTAAAGAGTTCACGGTGCTGTCGAGCTCGTGCAACGAATTGCATTCATCGCGTTGACATATTATGTTTTGTTCTGCACCTGAAAGTATTTGGCGTGAATCGTCAACTAAGCTTCAAATTAATATTGTGATATAATTTGATTTCCCGAGGCAGTTATTTTTCATTCCTTTCCCTTTTGGCATCACAAAAAGATCGTTTTTTTCGTAAGATACCGAGGTTTATCAAATATTAAAAGAAAAATGAGCTGAAGGTATTTGTGATTCAACGGACTAAAATCTTTTTTGGAATCTAGAGTCAAATGATGCTGAGGCTCTAGCGTGCTGATTCAATACCGAAAAGGATAGTAAATTTTCCATCAATTTTAACATATACGCAATTTTAAGACAGATTAACCACTATATGAAAAACTGTGAGACCTCAGGGCCTGGTTAACATTTTACTCGTATACAAAACATAACACACAAATGCTGTAAGTTCAAAAGCTCCTTCCTGTATCAAGAGGAATGTTCTTCAATTCGTTTGAATAATACTGAACTTCCTTCTGTATTTTCATGCGAATATGTTAAAAAATATGTAAAATATTATGATTGCACACAAGAGATAAATTTGTCATCATATGTTTCTAGTCCATTTTGAAATCTCGATTCTACGAATAAAATCACCAGAGCATGGACAAACCAGGTTTACACGCATTAATTAGTCCTATTTAGACTTATACTGTTTATGAGAACTGGTAAATGGTGAATTTAATCGGTAGATGAAAAGTTCTGAATGATTCACTAACCTGTTCAGGACCAACAGCAGCTCTGAAAGCAGTCAATGTCTGGTAGCCCTGTTGGAAAACAATAGGTAAGTATTTCAGAAGTGCTTACATCATCTTTGAATTACAGTAAAATGAACAATATTTTCAAGGATAAAATATCATTAACAAGTTAACCGACTCTGCTACGAAAATTCATGGAATGAAATAAGGTTCGAAATTACCTCTGCAATCACAAGAGAAGTTGCAGCTGCCACCAGCAGACCGAAGACGACCGAGAAACGGGCCATGTTCAAAGGGAACGGAGGTTATGACAAACGTGACTTTTTAGGAGAAGAAAGTTAATGCTCTCAGTACGAGGAACAAACACCAACTGAATCTCTGCATAAATGGATGAAACAAGGTTTGGTAAATGTTCGAGTACATTTGGGAGTAACAGGTGTTTGTTAGCGATACGTGGCTCGTGAACACGTGTGCTGCTGTGTTCGGTACGGCGACCGCATCATTCGACTCTCTTTAGACACGTGGCTCGTGCACACGTGTGGGGCTGTGTTCGTTTAAGACACCTCTCTATGAGACTCTCTTTAGACACGTGGCTCGTCTACACGTGTGCTGCTGTGTTCGTTTAAGAGACCTCTCTATGAGACTCTCTTTAGATACGAGGCTCGTGTACACGTGTGCTGCTGTGTTCGTTTAAGAGACCTCTCTATGAGACTCTCTTTAGACACGTGGCTCGTGTACACGTGTGCTGCTGTGTTCGTTTACGAGACCTCTCTATGAGACTCTCTTTAGACACGTGGCTCGTGCACACGTGTGGGGCTGTGTTCGACCAATGTGACCTCTTCATGAGACTCTCTTTCTACTACGTGTTAAACCGTGTACGACTGAATTTTCATATCAGATTGTAACCAAACTTGCGATCAGTGCAGAAATGGTTGGTCAAAATCCCACAACAATTAACTGCACATTTTCGTTTCTAGGGAAATTCTAGGAACAAATATAAACGCAAAGAAAATTCCACAAATGTCCATTATATCTCTACAGATAACGTTTCCGATTCCAGCTCCATCGTTAGCTAGAAGATTCTCGAATGCTGATTCTAGGTACCGGTAGGTTTTAATTTCGGTTCCTCGAATTTCAATAATGTACTAAGTTATGATTTTATCTGCAATCTAGAATCTTCGAACTGACAAGGGGGCTGGAATCAGAAACGTTTTCTATTAAGATATAATGAACTTTTGCGGAGTTTTCTTTGATTCTAAATTCCTTTTTAATTAGCGATTCAAGCAAACTAGTGATATGATTCACTAACTTACTTCCAAATCACACTCAGAAATTTTAGTGTATAGATTTGAAATTCAATACTTCCTTTTTCAAAAAATTTTGTACTATTTTAAGTATGTATGACTTCTTTAAGTAGCGATACCTGCATATTTGCAAACGGATACTCGACCAAGTATATAAATGCACGGAATTCATTTGTTTATCAGTCAGCATTTCCGCGAGCACGGGCGTTTATTCTAGTTGTGGTGACGATGAAGGTTCCTCAATATCTCTATGGCCACGGCCAGACTAAAAGCGTTGACCCGTACGCAGGCCGACGGCTTCGATATTATATTATGCATTTCTGCCAGGGTGGCCACACATAAGCGCGTACAGGCCGAAGCTGCGTCGAGAGTATATAGAGGCGCTGCGTCGCGCGATGGAAATAAGGGTTTTTCGGGACTTTAAAGCCAAACCCATGGTTTGAAAACCATAGAATAAGAGTTTTTCGGGGTTTTAAAGCCAAACCCATGGTTTGCCAAACTCTGCAAATATATCGCCGCTGCGCGGCGAGTTCAGTGTCCTTCGTAAACATTCGTAGTATATACGTGTGTATTTGAAGTGTCATAGACTTGTGATGCAGTACTCCTATTATTTTCACTGCTCAACATTTCGCTCTTGTAACATCGTGTACTTGAAATGTATAGGCAATGTAAGACTCTAATATATATATATACTCATCATATATATATACTATATATATACAATATACTCATATACTCATAGACATATATATACACTCATCAGTGATTCTGTCGGTCGTACTGTATAATGGATATGTCGCGTAATTTTATTATGTCTGTACTTAAAATTCTGTCTACGTAAACAATACTGAATGAGTGAAATAATATAGACATTTTTAAGAAAGTGTCCGTGTACGTAATGTTAGGTTTTTCAACAAACTGCGTTTTTTGGATGGAATTTGCTCATTAAGGAGTCATATTTCGAAGCTAAACGAGAATTGAAACGATAAATGGAAGCTTCACATTTACTGAGGTTGAGTGCTACAATGAATCATTTCTAAGATTCTCTTCGGCATGACCAACTGACTATAAGCAGCATAGCAGAATAAAGGGAAGAAGAATCTTGCTTAAGACTGAAGGAATATCGGTAGACATGAACAACTAAATTGCACACTTACCAGTAACACGCTGATAATTTTTCTTTGAAACTATTACTAATACTTGAGTCTACTTGGCTTTAAAGGAAGTTCTGATTACAATTTAGCAGTTTTACTTGACATCATTTAAGGTAGGTAAAAAATGGCGCATCGCAAGGAATCTTACCACAGTCAAATTTCTAGATAGCATGAATATAATATCATGATAGCAGCACCTATTACTTTCACCATAAAATAAATATTATAATAAACAAGTGCCAGAGCAGATTAACTAGGACAGAGTGAACAAAGCAGAGAATATAAGGAGAGCAACATAAACCCTTGATCCGTCATCCCGCTCATTAATTGCAAATTTTGCTTTTTGCGGGGGATGCGTTGAAGAGAAACTTCCCATAATTTGCAGAAAAATAACTTATTTTTATGACATAAATCCCAGCTTAGTCAGTTAACTTTAAGCCCAAATCCGACCCCCCAAATCCTAGAGTTTCTGATTTTAAGGATGTATTTCTTAGATATACGCCTCAATGCTAATGACCGTACAGTTGAGAGCGCAACTCGGATGACCTCAGGATAACCGTAAAACAGAGCTGTGCATGGGACCATTACGGCACATTTCCATCGATTCTGAACAGTTCGCAGGAAGAAGCGGATTCTATTCTCAATAATTCTAGACAGGCATCAATTCCTTCATGCATCTTTCTCATACTGTACTTGTGTAGTGGCAACTGCTATGGGGATACGGGCTTTCACGACCTCTGAGGCTAATAATAACTCATATGAATAATTTACCATTGAATTTTCATCACCGCGAACGGTTGATAGCACTTTTCAAAAGACAAAAACACTACTTTCCTTCCCATAAAGTTTCTGTGATGAATCGAAGCAATCAAAAAGTCTGACCCTTTACCTAGCTATGCAAGTTCTCTCACCGCCTTAAGTGCACGTGAATCTAACAAAATCCCACCAAAGCACAGAAAAAATTAGCAAAAAATGCGTAGAATACTCCGTGCCGTATTTATTGCCAACATTCTATACATATTGCAGATCGTCTTTCCAGACCTACGATGTCAGCAGATTCCATGCCGCAATGCGCAAGAAATGACTATCTTGCCCGGTATCAATTTCAGGGGAAAATCTAATGCATTTAATTCTACATCTAGGCAATGGGTCGTCCCACCCGCAAAACCGGGTTAATAGTTAGCTCAAACCAGTATCTATTTATTGCACTCGTTTAAAACAAATTTCTATCATGCCAATTCGATTTTTTGATTCATAAAAGTAATACACTAATATAAATATCATCTTAAGAATTAATTCAATATAAACAGAATTACAATATATGCTAATAAATATTTCAATCCATCTCTTTCTTCATGAGAGCATGAACTAGAAAATCTCACAGCATCTCAGTCTTATACGGTACTCTTGTCTAAGCTCTTATCTATGATGAGTCAACAAGTGCCGCCACACGCCGGGCTCGACGTAGTCGTTATCACCCCCCGAAGTGGCAAACATGGAGCGTAAGATGAACGCATTCTTGCTGAACGTTATACGAATCAACATCGATGGTGAATGCTACATCATGATGATCAAAATAGATTCAAAGCTTCCTGCCTGTCCAGAGATTGGTTTGCTCTCAGTATTTCAGATCTTCGGAGCTGAAATGATCTCTAACGTTGTGTCCGAGATAGATTTGGAATTTCAAACTCAGTAATTCTACACAGCAGGGAACCTTTTTGTTTCTGTTTGAGGGAATGTATTATTCAGTCCCCTTCTGGAAGCAATTAAATAAAGAATATCCTAATTATTCTACCCCTCAGCTTGTGGCAGTGAGAACCCGATTACTTTCAACACACAGGAGAGCATGTTTAAACTAAAATTTATCAAGTGCTTTAGCTCCAATTAACAGCAAGAAAAGTAAAAATGTTCAATGTTAAATTCAGTTAAAATACTAAATGTAGTTTCTTACATCCATAATCCCTAGACATTAATCTATGCAACTATTGAGATAAGTTTTAGATTATTCATCTAAGTACATAGCATATCACTGCATGAATAAGCAAAGGTGATTTTAAGGGCACTCCAATGGTTGAAATTGGAACACTTCTATACTTATGGACGCCTAAACCTTACTGGGTGGATCTTTATCCTTATTTCCTCCCCAGAAAGAATCGAACCTTGAGCGTGCTTTGTCGAGGGTCTCAGTGACGATTCTACCTGACGAGGGCGAGACGAGGGTTGGAGGACTGACATCTTGTCCGGCCGTGCCAGTCGGCATGGCAGTTTGACCGTAGTAAGCAGGCTCAGGAGCTTCCAAGACACGGTAAGGCGAAGGTTTACCCACAGGCAGGACGTCGTCAATCGGAGCTTCTAAAACCCTATATGGAGATGCTTTCACAACCGAGGGGTTCTCATGAACGTTGGTTTGAGGAGACGTGTCAGCTCGCGGTTTGGTTGCACTTGGGGACAAATCGGGAGCTTCTAAGACTCTATAGCTCCCAACTTTCTGTGAAAGCCCTTCTGGTTCTGGAGCTTCAAGAACTCTAACACCGCTAGTTTTCGTGAACGTTGGTTCTTTTGACGGTGAAGATCCAAGAGATGGCTTATTTTGATCAAACGTGAAAGAAGGATCGTCAAGGCATCGCATGTCGGACCCTGGAACATTACGAACGTCGCGCTGGCCAAGCATTGTTTGGGGTTGCATAGACTTGGAGGCAGATGGCAAGTCTGTTTTGTTAGGTGATGATTCACCCGAGTTCTTTCCATTCATACCATTAATGGTGCCGAAGACGGAGGATGATTTCTCATCTTGTTCCATTGATTGAGACATGGGATCCTGGATCATGGACTGGCTCATAGGATCCTGGATCATGGACTGGCTCATGGGATCCTGGATCATGGACTGGCTCATGGAATCCTGGATCATGGACTGGCTCATGGGATCCTGGATCATGGACTGGCACATGGGATCCTGGATCATGGACTGGCTCATGGGATCTTGGATCATGGACTGGCTCATGGGATCCTGGATCATGGACTGGATCATGGGATATTGGATCATGGACTGGCTCATGGGATCCAGGATCTTAGAATGCGTCATGGAATCTTCAATCATTGACATTTTCAGTTCATCTTGATCCGGTCCTGGGAGCGAGTTTAGAAGCATGAAGGAAAGAAATAAGAAGTATTAGTTTGCTGTTTAAGCTAAGAAAAGCCATTAGTATGGAAGGAATACCGTATTCCAGTTCATGTTCATGCATTGCAGTAAATAAGAAGTTGTATTAATTACGAGAACATCGCTCAATAATTCTTCAATGCAATTAGGAAACGAGGTGAGAAAATAGTTCGAGATGAATTTCAGTAGTATTTTTTCCTAACAGAATCCAATTTTGCTTGATAAAGGAAAGTTAATTTTTCCATTAAAGACAAGCAGTTTTCCGTGCATGTGACTTCTTAACTGAATGACTTGTCAATTGAGGAAAATACTCAGCTGAATAATCGCAGTTCGCGATTTACTTTCTGAAATACTAACGATATTATAAAGCATGCAATTATTGTAGCATAGTCAGTTAGTAGGAGTACGAAAAATTTAAGATCCCACATAGCATGAACAAGATGATATAATAAATTAATTTATTTACTCATTCAAATAAGCGTTATTGGAAGGGCTTCTCAGCATACTCGTTCCAGAAATGACACCATCCGGTAGATCATCGTCGTCTAAACCATACAAATCAGATGCGCGAGAAATGTTAGCGAGTTCATTCCTAGTCGACAATGTACCTTCAGGCTTAAAGGCCGCCACGGACTCTGAAGAAGATTCTGAAGCAATGTACGCGGTTGACGTCGTGAAATGAAAGTCAAAGTCTTGGCCGATGTCATCGTCTATGTCAGAAGTTTGGTCTCTGTCACGAGTCACGACTGAAGATGGAATTGAGCTTTTGTTCTCACCAGCGCTGTATTTTACGTCAACGACATTGTCATGCATATTTCCTGAAGTCAGGTCTTGGGACATGAAATTTTCTCTCTTTCCATCAACATCATACATTCCTGCAACCGTTGTGGTGTCGAAGCTTATATCAGAACACGCCTCCTCGCCCTCCAAATCGTCATCTGTGGCGGATGATTTTCTTGTGTCTGACGCGATATAATCCGAGGCGTCGACAAGCCCAGTTTGGTCGTTTGAAAATTGCGAATCAGTAAGAGAGGACTGTGATAGACCGTTCATAATGTGATTGTTATCAGATTGCTGATATTGGGCAAGTAGATTGAGCTGTTGGGCATCTTGAGTGAAATTGATGGTAGCAGTTCTGGGCATTGGCACATCCTGTGATTCTAGAGCGGAGTGTACTTCACCTGCCAAATTGGACTCAAAGTTCTTATAGCTTCCTTGGTCGAACTTTTCATTAAACAGATCAGAGGCTGGACCTCGTGGGAGGTATTCGATTGTTGGGTCAGTGCTTTTGGCAACAAATTCTCCTGGGTAGTTTGATGAGTTGCTTGGAGAATGACGATCAAATTGCTCATAACCGTTCGTACAAAATGGATATTCACGAATGATCGAAATTTGTGCAGCCTTGTTACTCGTTTCTTCTAGGAGCTCGTCATCATTGGAATCTGAAGAATGAATATTTTTATTTGCAAAAAATTTTAAGTGATCGTTTTCATTTCCAGATAGGGTTTGTTCGGGAGAGTCGCGTCCTGCTGGAGATGGTGATGCTGTCTCAAACTGCCTGATGCCTTCATTAATATTATCAATATCATGTTGTTGCAGGACCTCAAAACGTTCTAATTCCAGATGAGGATTGGCTTCCATGCTCTTGCCATATTTAGTTTCATAGCTGTTCAAGTTACTCTGGTCTTCGACCGACTCAGAAGAATTGTAGTTATCCGTTTCTTTTGGGAAAGAATCCAGAGGTTTGTGATGGGAAGCAGGAAGACTTCCAGAAATACCATACCCATTTTTACTCCAATGTGTGTAGTCATCTGCTGGAAATTGGAAGCTGTTCTCTAACTGCTCCTGCGTTTGCTGAGCCTCTACTGAAAATTTTCGTCCGGGATCAGATTCAACTGAAAGGTGATTAGCAGCATTCGGCGAGGAATCGCCAGCCTGAATTGAGGCTTGAATTTCCCATTGTTTGTCAAATTTCATCATAGCGTCAAGCTCAGGCGTTTTTGATCCATCTGATTCCGCTGAACTGAATGTTTTTTCTTCTTGGTAATGGGAATCTTCTTCATTCAGTGAACGGGTTCTCATTCTCGAAAAAACTGGACTTCCTTCTTTCACTTCATAGGTCAAGTCTTCTCGAGTAAAAATACTCTCGGCTTCTATTTCTCCATCGGTCATGCTGTCCATTCCTAAGCTCGTCATTTCACTCTCTGCTCTTTCTACTGTCTCGCTTTGCTCTGCGGCGAAAATTCCATTTGTTGTGTCGCTTTGGTTCTCCCTAGAATTTCGGTGAGGTTTTACGTCGGAGACACTGCTGTGGCTTGCTTCTGATTCTGCTGCTTGCAGGAAACTAATTCTTTCACTGACGCCGTCATCATGTAGCTCTGATTTTAATAGTTTATCTTGTATGTTAACTGCCGTCTGGTCAGCATCGTCAGATTGGGAGAAATGGTCATCAAGAATGTTATAATGCTCGTCTGATTGAAAACGAATGCTCTCATCTACAATGTGGTCGTTCAACTGCTTTTCATCTGGATAGTAAGAGCTAGCGTTCTTTGATTTAATATTCTCTTCATGAGCATCATCAGTTTTACTGTCAGCATCTGATGGCGAATGTTCAAAAGCAATTTCGGAGTCACTGCTTGCTATTTTAGTTAAAACTTCATGCGAACCGTAATTGAAATAGTCTTGTGGTTTAGCAAGCGCATTATTAGCGTCTGTAAGGCTGAAATTATCTTCTTCTGTATTAGGGACATCGCCCAAATTTTCAACATCATCTTGCAAGTCTCTGGAAGAATTCAACTCATGGTTTTTAAAAGTTGTTTCCTCTCCAAACAAATCTCGCGGTGACAGCGTCTCGTTCGCATCCGAGTCGACATTTTCTTCCACCTCTGCATAGTGAATTTCAGTGGTTTTGGAGAAGACTTGGTCTCTGCTCATATGGACACCATTTACAGTACTATCAAATTCTGTATTGGTGAAGGTGGTCAGAGTTTGAGGAATAATTAAGTAACTTTCTGGCTTACCATCGCTTGTGATTTTATCGCCGTGATAATCCTGACTGTTGTCAACAAATTCACTTCCGAATGCATTCATGGCCTCCATATGAGAGGAATTGTCATAACACGGCTGCCTAATTTGGTCCTGGGCTTCCAATAACCTGCACGGAATATTACTTTCTTCAGTTTGTGCTGCTTGAACAGAAACAGCGGTCTGCACAACTTCTGTAGAATGAAGACCATCTTCTGGCTGATGACCTCTTATAGGCAGCGGATTATCAATGATCTGACGATCGTCAATGGGCTGAAGAGTAGCAATTAATGGTTTAAGGTTATGAAGGAAATCAATGGGCTGATGATCATCGATAGACAGAGGTGGCGCATCATTGGGCTGATGGTTTTCAGTGAACTGATGATTATCAATGGACTGAAGATCATCAGCGCATGGAAGATAATCGTCGGAATTTTGTCTATCGATATTTTGAAGATTGGAGACTTCAGTCAAGTGATGGGCATCGACGAGTGTTGAGTGAATTGAGTCGACAGAATCTGACTTGCATATAGTATCAACTGCTTGACTGTCTTCGTCCGTCTGATGAGACTCACGTGATTGGTAATCGTTATCAGATACTGAAGCTTGCTGGCAGACTTCGGTCTGGAAGCTATCAGTCGTAAGACGTGACTCATAATGAGGAAGAGTTTCGACATCTTCAGCAGAAGCCTGTGCAATATCATTGTCGTCTGTTGACATAGCACCAACTTTCGGATGAGCTACAGCTGTTTGATGAGTAATAGCTGGAATATGGCCGTCGATAGTATCAGATTCCTCAGATGAATATCGAGGATCAACAGTATTAGTTATCGCAACAGGGTGAGAGATATTCATTGTATTGGCATCATCAACAGAGCTTAAGCTATCGACTGGTACAGGCGCGTTGCATGACTCATTTAACTGGAGCGTGACACATGAATCTGGCAATTGAATTGCTTCTAGAGGTTGGGGAGCGTCTACCGACTGAAGGGCGGAAAACGAGTTTTTTGTCACAAGTGGTTTAGACAAGTCAGTTGATTGAAGATCATCGACAGGAGAGAGATTGTTCACAGATAATTCAGCATCAGCAGTGACATCGCATGATCGGGAGTAGCCAAAAAATTCAGAAGTAACTTCAAAAATCTCGGAAGGCTCAACTATAGTCTGATGGCTATCACCAGACAAGATGTCATTAGAATGCTCCTGTTCTAAGCAAATAGTTATTGGATCGTCAAGGGTTACTTCTCCACCAAAGGTTCCAGAAACACTCTCTCGCATGACATCTATTTCTTTATAGGCGCTGCTCGATTGGTTTAACATATCACCCGATCCTTCCTCTTCTGAGATGTTATCATTTGGGAATCTCTCACCAGATATCTCAAGATCGGTCTCATTATTGAGAGTTGAAATTTCTTCTTGCGAGAAGGATTCGAGTGAATGAAGGTTCTTCTTACTGGCATGATTGATTGTCTCATTGGATGGGAAAAAATTGTTTTCCAAATCTTCGGCCATCACTTCTAGGGAAGCATCAATTTCATGAGCTGTCTCTCCCAGGCCACTCTGAGGTAGGTATAACATTACAGAATCAGGAATTTCTCGGGTTTCTGTTTTTTCATGGTATGTATTTAGTCGATCAATTATTTCCATTTCATTGTCCGTACCATTCATGAATGATTCAGGTGTTAGTCGTCCAGCCATGTCGGAAGTCACTTCTGAAGGTTCTAAATTAACTACATTATCAATTGCAGCATCTATCATTATCTCCTTGGAATTGGCACTGGATGTTTTCTCGATATCATCTGCCATAAGCAATTCGTAAGAACTCGATTTTGAAACAGCGGGAAAATTAGATTCATCATCAGTATCATTAGGGACTTTCGAATTTTCATCCGCAGAATACTGTTGGTCATCCAAATTTGTATGCTGGAGAACATCGGGAGATAAACTTTCGTCATCTCTCAGTTCAGGAGAACAAGATATTACAGATCCAGGAGTAATGTTATCTGTCTCCGTAGGAAGAAAATCTTCAGTATGCTCTCCGTCCATAACTTTACAAGTTTCAACAATCTTAACATCACTATTAGGCTGATCAACTTCGTCAGGAAAGGTTGAATCTACAGTAGTCGTTGTAGAGTCGATGGTTTGAACAAATTCACGGCTACATTCTTCTATGTTGTCGTCTCCGTACGTCACACCGTCCAGTGTACTGTTCGCTTCAATATTTACGGGATCAGTGTCAGTCTGAACGGGATTGAAACCTTCGGATTTTCCTTCAGTAAATGAATTTGGGTGTTCTTGTGAATGATCTGGATACATCTCAACCTCTTGAGTCGAGTCAAAAACATCGGAGTTTAGATGATCTGAATCAGGTATAAACAATATATCCCTTTCATTTGAGTTCTCTGACTCTTTGGCCAAAAGCTCGCTAACATTTTTCGCTTCATTAGTAAAAGATGGTGCAACCACATTCTCATGCAGACCTAACTCACTCATCCCTTCAGATACCGCATGCGTGTTATTAGCACCCACGGAAATACCTGCAGTTGGTAAAGCAGAAGGAGAAGAAGGCATGTCGCTCAGTACTGAGGAAGTCAGCGATTCAGGAATAGGTTCCATTTTTGCTTGATCTTTGGCGGGTGGCTTTTCCAAGTTTTTCGCATTTTCATCAGACACGCCGTTTTCATCTGGCTTCACCTCAGGAATGTCAGGTAAGATTCTTTCATCTTTCTTCAGCTCTGCTGCCGCAGACTTACCTAGTGATCCCATCACATCAAACTTTGAAGGTGTGACAGAGGCAACTTTGTCCACCTGTTGAAAGGGAGCTTTTGCATCTTCAGAAGCGGCGGCTGCGGCCACTGTACTCGCTGTTGTGATGGGCGTCCCTGCCAATGAACCTTGGTAGATTTTGGTTGGTTCAGGAGTCTGTCTAGGTCGCGCTTCGAATGGCTGCCGGTGTTCCGATGAAGGAGTGGATCTCGATGCTTCTCCTGCAAACAAACATTGTTATTACGAATAACGCACAAAAACACAACCATAATAATAAATTGAAATTGAATCTGGACCAAAAGTTTAAAATTTGAGTTGCGTGGCCGAGTTTCTTCATTCGATTATCACCAGAATTTTCAAATTTGCGATTAACGGAGTAAAAAATTATGACTATATAAACGCATGCTTAATGTCGACCTACGTTTGAAGACTCAATAATGAGCTGATGCAGGGAAGGGATTGGTGCACTGATGTTAAACGACGACTTTAAGAAGTTGATGCGTACTTCTTAAGTGGCAGGGAATCGCCGAAATAATTTAAGTTTATTAGAGTACATTCATTCTCAAAAAGTGCAATTAACTTTAACGGGAAATAATGATAACGTTAGTAGGAGGTCTGAGAAAAGTATGCCTCAATAGATGTTTCATTTGCATCATGGGGTAATTAATTGGGATACCAATTTTTTGAAATCAATACGTGTACTGTTAAACAGATATCTTACTTTTAATTTGTCAAATAAAAATTGTAAATCGTAAACCATAGATCATAATATACATGAAAGCAGCTCATAGATACAAAGTTGAATTACAACAAAGACATGACATCAACACCGAAAGCTGTGTTCGTCATGCAGGCTCGGAACTTGTCAAAAACTGGTTAGAAGCACCGGAGCCTGTTAGGACCACACACATTTCGGGCACTTGATGGCTGTGCCGTGAGATACGTTACGTTACAGATACCAATGCACTACGGACCCATTCTATAATGGAGTGACGCTAAATTTTGAAAAAATTTACTTGCATCCATCGGGGGAAATTGTCAAGTTGAGGTGGGAGGGGTAGATATCCTAACAGGCTTCTCTGAGAAGAGCCAACGTCTGATCTGACATACCTCTGTATAATCTCATATAAGGATTAGCTGGGCGGGAAGAATAAATACACGTTATTTGGGAGGTTACCGGACATCTTTTCAACGTCGGTAAGTTCGGTGACGATAGAAAAAAAAAACATTAAAGTGGTTTAAAAAAAATTAGGATGATTAAGTCATGTATATAAAAAATGTCTTAATGTAGCAATTATTACGGGTTTTGAAAAATTATTACAACATGGGTTACTTTTTTCCAAGCTTCACAGCAGACAGATCTAATTTTTCTACTTATAGTATTGCGTGGAAAAACAATTGTAGTCCATTTTTATTACCGTCAGATTCTCATTAATATCTCGCGTTGGAATTCGTCCTTTTAAGCAGAAACCACATTTTAGACAATTGATTCGGATCACACGCGCTAGTATACTAGAGATTTCTCTTCATGGAAAAGCCGAAATGGCCAAATGTTTGACGTGTTGAATGTGATTATTAAACATGGACGAGAAATTAGCCACAGATATTGTTTGATCAGCTATATCAGTTCAACTTTCACCTACATCGATTTACGTTTTCTTCAGATACTAAAGCAAAGAATTGTAATTTCAGTTGATGGGTGAAAACAATACACTAAATCAACCGAGTTCCATACCATTGTTCAAAACATAAATTTAAACAGTTGTATAATTTATATGACGGGTCTTCGATCTCAGCCTATGAAAATAGTACGCAGATGAGGGATAGTGTTGAGACCTCTTCAATTACGATTAAGATCTTGACACATAAAAATACTGCACGTTTGTAAGTCAATCGCGGTCTCTCTAGAAGATATACATGACAATCGCGGTCTCCCTAGAAGATATACATGATAATCGCGGTCTCCCTAGAAGATATTAATCGCGGTCTCTCTAGAAGATATACATGACAATCGCGGTCTCCCTAGAAGATATACATGACAATCGCGGTCTCCCTAGAAGAAAAGAATGAAGAAAATTGAATATTAAATTTTCCCTAGAAGAAAAGAAAAGAAGACATGACAAAGAGGAAGTCACTGCTGTGACCGCGAGCTACCTCACCTTCAGGGATGCTGTGGGTGACCGTGAAGGTCTTGCCAGTGTCCAGGGGCACGGTCCAGTTAACGGGATCAGGGCTCTTGACCATCACCTTGAAATGCGTCGTGTATTAGTTAAATTTATGGTAAATAATTTATTATTAAAGTATCTATTTATATAATAAAATAAATAGTCGGAAATTAATAAAAGAAATTTTCAAATATACATCAATTATCTGCACAACAAAATCTCATATGAATTGAGTAATAAAAAATGGTATTAATTGAATTTTATTGCCGATGTTGAAAAGAATTTCCAGCCAGTAGAATAGAGCAGATCATTACATTCATGTCAACGATAGATAAATATATGAAAAATTACAACAACTTTTTTTATTAATAGCAAATTATAATAAAATTTGTGCACAATAGAATACTTACAGGATTGCGTAATTAAACAATGGATGATGATGGGCAAGGTAAACAAAGATGACACTCATGGATAAAAGAACGGTCATTCGATGAACGTGTAATAATAATGCTATACATTTCTCTCGATAATTTTCACATATTTATGTGCAATGTAACATACTTTATTTGTAATATATTTGAGCTATTAGAAATGCTTTTGTGGGTACGAAATAATTAACTGGCCTACCTGGCTACACCGGATTGGCAGAAGCAGGAGTTACAGAAGAGAGGCTGTCACTGCCTTGTCCTCAATGATAATCACAGGTGATAATTATATTAAAAAGCAGAAAAATTGCATGGAACTATATACTAAGAGTAAAAAAGAGAACACCTACCCATTTACCAACCTGGTCGGGCGACTTGACACGGGTGGGTTCAGGTGGAGTTTTGACGACAGGCTCATACTTCTCAGGGTCAAAGCGCGGCTCAGGCGTAGCCTTGCGTCCCATCAGACTAGACTCTCTGATGGCCTCCACGCCGGCGTCTCTTGGTCCATCTTTGACAGACACTTCTTTCTCTTTGTCTTTCTTGGCCTCGCCGCCCTCACCTATAAGCACGTTAGCACTCAACAATGATAGTTAGTGTTGCACATTGGCTCAAATTAATAAAGCTAGTGCCTCAACAAACCAAAACAAATCATGAGCCATTCAGGATGCGAAGTAGGAATGTCGAATTCTTCAATTTAATAATCACGATTGCAAGTGCACTTCGGTGGAATATATAACGCGAAATAATTAAAATTATCTGGTTAATAGTTCGTGCAATAATATGGGTTCGCAGAATATAATGGAGTCAATTCCTGTTTTGGGTAACTCTATAACAAGCTCAGCGTACAACGATAACAAGTACTACGATAAAATAAAAAGTTAGAATGTAATTAGAAAACTCATGCTAAAAATATTATAGTCAAATTACGCCATGCGGGGTGAACTATTCAAATTTATAGGATAAGCCGAAGCATGGGACGATGTACCAGGGAGGTCATTTCATCTATGAACGACAATAGTAGAACATGAAGCGTTTATTAATAAAGAAGTGGAGCGACAAGCAAGATGTATCTTAAGAGAAAATACCTTATGATAAATGATATCATGGAACGCACATGAGCTTGAACAAGGGAGTTAAGGGAATGATCTCATTGCCATAATTACTGCTGGACTAATAAGTGAAGACAGTCGAGATGGAATGTCATGTGAGAAATTTAGAGTATTTAGAGAGAGGCTTTGGGTGAAAACCGTTTCCACTCTTGAATTGCAAAAAAAAATTTCTTGAATTGAAAAAATCCTGCGAGGCTTTCTGCCTCGCAGGAGGCCACATCAAGGCCACTCATGACATTAAAAAAGATGAAGATGCAAATGTTTGGCGATAACAAGCAAGGGCGGATGTTCAGGAGACAAAAAATTCAAAACTCGGCATCTCATTTTCACACATGATACAAAAATGTACAGAAATACAATGGCGATAAAACTTTGTATTGGAGGGTCGTTAGTAGTTTCAGGCAGTTAGGATGTTTGTAAATATAGGTGAATTCACTGAGATCTAAGGAATATTTGTATAGCAACAGCATCTACTTACTACTACGTCTCTTGTCTTCACGACTCTTAAGATCGCCTTTCTTAGGCGACAAGCTGAGGTCATTGCTCTTCCTACTGGTTTTCTTTGAGTCATCGAGGGGAGGGCGGCCGCTAGTGTCAGCCCCTTTGCGACGAGCACTAGTAGCCAGGGAAGCTAGAACAAAGGGCAGGGTCTTTATCACTAGCGCAACTATATATTACAACACTAACTAGTCTCGACACGGTCGTCTGGCCGAAGTAAATGTGTACCGAAGGAACACACAATGTCTTACGTTTAGCACATTTAGCTCGCACGCTATAGCTTCTAGAAGGCGCTGAGGGAAAGCTGCTATAGAATATCTTTCTTTATTTAACACGTAACAGATATTTGACGCGATCAGTAAATGTGACGAAAAAGAAAAAGCAAGTAAATTAGGTTTGGTAAGATCAATGGTCACATTTTTGTAGAAAAAATTCTACATAACTATGAAAAAACTCCAAGATTTTAGCATATAAGAAGTGCAATTTTTGTTTTTCCTCCTGTTAAAAGCATACTAATGAAGCTCTATGGCCATAAAGAAAGACTGAATAAAAAGTTTAGCCTGAACGAACTATGAAGGCACGTCTAAAACAATCACTCGTCGTCGAAGAAATCTAAAAGTTTAGGATTCAAGCTGCATTTCTGGTAGAAGTTGGTGCTTAATTAAGGAAACAAATGAGAATGATATAGATTAACATACAGTCTTCCAAACGGGTGAGAGATTTGAAAAAGAAAGCTGAAATTCATTGTTCAATGACACACGAATTAAAAATTACACGGCACCACATTCGTCTCTGATGGGTGATGTAAAATATTTGGTGTGCATTTATTGTGCAGTAAAAAATCAGCAGTTCTGACACAAGCTCGTCGACACACAAGTTCTTGAGTCCAATAGTAAGGCCGAGGGAACTGGGTGCCAAATAATTCGAGCATTTCAGTCCCACGCAACGAATCACATGAGAAGAAATTTTAGTTAGAAATCAAAATTTATAAATTATTACAAAAATTTACAAAAAATCCTACTTTAATTATGGAATTTAAATTGGTCTTACAGACTGAATTATAATGTAAGGCGATACCAACGTCAACTGCCTGTTGGTCACTCATTCCACGCGAGAAGATGTTTCTGACCGGTCAAAATATTTGCTATTATAGGAATTGAATATTTATGAATTTTTTAGCCATTGAAACGAAATTCATATTTTATTAAATAGCATCACCGACATTGGTGAAAGCAATCTCTGCATCACCACATTTGATGTTTAATGATCAAGTGATGAAACTCTTGAATATTGCATTTGTTATTATGTGTTGATTTGTGCCAACAAACCAGTTTTGAAAATTCATTAAATATACTTTGGCACGTTAGTGTTGCAGCTGAACATATTTATGGGGGGGAAATTGCATTAGGTTCAATATTTGCAACTCTTGCAAATGGCGAAAAACATTCAAATTAGAAAACATTGTATGACAGCAGCTAAAACTGGAGTTGGAAGTCTATTTTGTAATGCATTTAAACGTGATGAATGAAATGAATGATCGGATATTTATCAAGCTGAAAGAAATTTCATGTATATATTCAGATGTTATTGTTTGAATTCTCCAAACTTATTAATCTAAGACTTTATAAGTAGAGATTTAGAATTAAAAATTTCTAAACCTTCACTGATGATCAACTGAGGATCAATTTCACCCGTTCATGAAATGAATGAATTTTAAAACATTGGCAATGGAAGTGGCGCAGAAAAAGACAGAAGTATATTTAAATAGTATGAAGAGACGAGGATAGCCTTCGCCTGCCTGTAAAACAGACCAGACGTACGATGGACATCATTACACTGCAGGTTTTACATGCCCACTCAGTAGAGAGAAATAAAACGAGTCTGAAAAATATATTTGACAGAATATATATAGTGCATGACTTCTTACTGAGGACAAGTAATGTTTAGACGAAAACAATCAACTCGAAGGAAAGCATTAAAAACGACAGATGGGAAGGCAAATAAATGGGATACATCACGTTCAGGGTGGACACTTTTAAGACAATAGTTTATTGGCCTGACACAACAATAGCGACAACTTGGCACGATTATTTCACGAACTTATTTCAACTTTTGTTAAAAAATTTCAGGTACTCGGAGCCATGACAAGTTAAGGTGCTGCAGCCATGACAAGTTATAGTGCTGCAGCCATGACAAGTTATAGTGCTGCAGCCATGACAAGTTATAGTGCTGCAGCCATGACAAGTTATAGTGCTGCAGCAATAGGGAAGTAAATAGCTAGGATCGGCCGAGATCAAAAGGAGGAAACTTGATCAAAGCTCAACACAACACGGATCGCTCGCACAAGAGGACGGGTTGCTATAGGTAGTGGCCGATTCGGGTGCAGAGCAGAATGATAAGTTGTTGGCTGCAATAGCAAGGTAGTAAATTATCGGAAATAATCTCAATAGCAAAAAGTCTGGACATCAATGGAAAGTTCTTGGATGTGTATTCACTTGTAGTGTTCGATAAGTTTCAAGATCTTGAACACAAGGCGCTCAAAAAGTAAATTCAAATTCTCTGGCAGACCCAGATACTTTAAAATTCTGAAAAATAAGCAGGACGGATCAATCCAAACAATGTACTCGGCTTCAGAAACGAGAGTTAAAAACCTTCATTAATGCTGATTTCTTATGAACTTAAATTGTAGAGTCGATGCCAAGTCATTTTAGCTGTCAGTTTGATTCAAATGATTAAATTTAACTTAAGGGAGGTGCAGCCGTATAAAAGGCCAAGTTAAATGAAATTATAAGGCTATGGAAATGTACATTGAATTAATTCTAGAAAAATAATTTTCAAATAACATCGATCATTACGTGGAAAGGTTAATTTCATAAAGTTATACTAACATGCACTTCATTTGCGCATTGAATTGATGGGCGCATGATAGAAGAAAATTAAGCAAGAAATGCCTGGTCTTTTCCCAAGAAAGTGTCACTACAATTTGTTTCAAGAGTCAATTTTGAAAAAATAACTCTTCATTCAACTGAGTTAGTTAGTTTAGTGGCCACATGTTTACTAACGCATCAGCTATTCAGCTATCTCGCACCGCAAGTCAAGATGAACATAGCCAAAGAGGTAGAAGGTCTCAGCTTTCGAAAGATTCTCAAATCAAAAATTGTTCCTCGCCCACCAGGAGCGGAAGGTCTTAGATGTCTAGCCCGCTGAAGCTGGCTCGAAGGAAGCAGCGTTAGTATCTCAAAGAGACGAAGTGACAAGGAGGGACAGGTGAAAAGCAACAGAAACGAAGACACTCGAACAAGAGGTCGCTTACACGGGACGTCGGCCGCCCGCACGGGAGAGACAGAGAAGGGAAATGTAAGGAATGCTACCTATATAATAACTTATTGTAAGGAATCCTACCTACATAATAACTTAACCCCACAACTGAGACCTGCAGTCAGACATAGCGAGCTCAGCGGGGGGCGCTCAGGAACAATCCCCCTAGGAGCGCGAAATCCCACAAAACTTCTGAGGAGCACAGACACGCGTCAGAAGTCCCCGCCCTCTGAGGGGCACATTCAAGTGAAGAAAAAATAATTTCTAAGAAGACTTAACGGGAAGAATAACAAATCGATGTCCCAGCCCGTCACTCGATTTCACCCTCCGTCACTCGACGTCACCCTCCGACACTGGCACATATTCGTTCCACAATCAGGCTGGGCCAGGCTATGTGACGAATACAGTTGCGCCTGAGCTTGCGCACGAATGTTGCGCAATGAGCTTGAGCAAAAATGTTGCGCAACGAAGAAAACTTGAACGCTGAGATCATAATTTTGATGAGATTTAGAAAAAAAGAAAATTTTTAATTCAACTCACTGGGCCTGGGACGGCGCTCGGTCTTGGGGGCGAGTGGCACATGGCCGGTGGGCGGCCGAGCGCTCCTCTTGGGCGAGCGACTCTGAGGGTCGACGCTCACCGACCGACCTGTGGACGCCGACAGTCAAATAAATATCTTCTAGCGACAGTCAAATGAGTGTCTTCCAGGGACAGTCAAATGAGTGCCTTATAGCGACAGTCAAATGAGTGTCTTCTAGCGACAGTCAAATAAATATTTTCTAGCGACAGTCAAATGAGCGTCTTCCAGCGACAGTCAAATAAATATCTTCTAGCGACAGTCAAATGGGTGTCTTCCAGCGACAGTCAAATTAGTGTCTTCCAGCAACAGTCAAATAAATATCTTCTAGTGACAATCAAATGGGCGTCTTCCAGCGACAGTCAAATGAGTGCCTTTTAGCGACAGTCAAGGGAGTGATATCTGGTGACAGTCAAATAAGCATCTTCGAGCGACAGTCAGGTGAACATCTTTCAGCAACGGTAAAAGGAGTTTCTATAGCGACAGTCAAGGCAGTGTATTCCAGCGACAGTCAAATGAGTGTCTTCCAGCGACAGTCAAGGAAGTCTCATCAAGCGACAGTCGAAGGAGTGTCTTCTAATGACAGGCTAGACTTTTGACTGCCATTAGAAGACACTCTCTAGACTGTCGCTATATAGAAGACACTCTCTAGACTCTAGAGAGTGTCTTCTAGCGACAGTCAAAGGAGTGTCTTCCAGCGACAGTTTAAGGATTGTCTTCTATTGACAGAACTTAATAACAAGACACCAGACAATATTTTGCTCAAATTGGTCATTCGTTAAAATCCGACATTATAAGTATATCTACAAAATGTATACTGCCGATGCATTCTACAAACTACTAAAAAATGTTGCAACATGACGGAAAATACTCCTATGTCGTTGCAAGCATACTACGCAAGTTAATTATCACTCACACAATTTTTCAGAGTTCAGCCTGCATCTTACCCCGAAACTTTTTTCAAACACCTATACCAGCCACGAACACATTTAGTATAAGAATTCAAATTTGTCTACGTTGAAGGGAACAATGGGCACGCAGACATAACCTCAGTTCATTACAAATTATACTATCATTGTATTGTGAAATCACCTTAATTGTTTTACTGACTTTGGTGCACAAGACTAAGTGAAAACATGCCAAAAAAGTAAAAACTACTCTAAAGTTTCCAATTTTATCTTGACAATGATATAATGCAAACAAACATATAATAATATTTGCGACGCAGTATGTCTAGCATCAGAGAACGAAAGTTCACGGAGATCTGAAACAAGAAATATTTCACAACATGAGCAAAAATGAAAATTTTGTTGAGCGGTAGAGGCACACATATAGGAATGCCAAGAAATATATAGATATATTCCTCAAAATACATGAAGCACATTGTTACCTTGGGGAAGAAGTATGAAAAATAATGAAAATAAAATTTACTTGCACAGTTGTGTAGATGAATGAGAACGAAACGTAATATACCTAGCAGAGAGTTAAGAGTGTAGAGCATTCGACAATTTAATTGCATTCAAGAAATAAGCTTTTAAGATTGATTAAGCCTTTTGTTAAGCTCATTCCGGGATCCATTTGAAGACAAAGTATCGGAGGTCAACAGATAAGACAACCCTAATAAAATCTAGACTTGAGCCCGACTCTGAATTAGGTGCCGCCTAGTACTCTGGGAGCACGTCAATCAGCCGCTGTACGTCCTCATCGGCACTGGGTTTGGAGGGCAAACTCTGTGCCGGAGGGCAGACTTTGGGTTTGGAGGGCAGACTCTGTGCCGAAGGGCAGACTCAGAGTTTGGAGGGCAGACTATGACTCGGCTCGGTCAACCCTACTCATACTCTCAGGTGACTGTGAAGTCAGAAAGTAGACTCTGACTGGAAGCTGATTTGGATGGGCTGGCCTACCACACCCAGAATAACTCTACCCCAAGTGCAGTGACTATTCGGCCGAAGCCACGGCGGTCCACGAAATTTGCTAGGGAATGCTTAGCCACTCCCTGACAAGACTTGACCGTCGACCCTTGGTAGATGCTTGGTTAAGAATTTAGTTACTGTCTATGTCATGAGGTGGCCCTGCATTGTGCGGAACTCGGTTAAGACTTGAGTTACAGTCCATGTCATATAAGGCGCCTCTGCATTGGTCGAAGCTCATTTGGTGGGCACCTCCTGCCTTGAATATCTGAGAGCCACACACACTACTTAACACCAGTTGTCAAGCGTTCCAACTCTGCTCCTAATTTAGGAAGTCGGTAACAGCAACACATTGGTATGCAACGAACATCGTTTGTATAACCAACAAGAAAGCAAGCTCACATCAACAGATTTGCAATGATTCTTGGGAAAGCCATACAATATATGTTGATCGAGAGGAGGCAATATGCAAGAAACAGTTGCAAAAATAAACATAAAAATAAAATGATGAATTTGAGATTGCAAGGCAATAGATTCTTACAGGAGTTGGCGCTATTTCTTTATCAACTTGTGCCAGATGTACAAATGAATGCGTACCACACTTTTTATAATAATAAATAAATTGGTATTAGAGTCAGAACTATTCACTTTGAAGCAGCAAATAACTCAGGTTTTTCTCGTTTTCTGAACATTACTTTGTTACTGTTAATATTTTATTTGAAAATTAAACTTGTATAAACACAGTTAATATCAAAGTACAATTTGAAGTTTTTTCAATATCAAATTTGTCAACATTCTGATCAGCTAAAAAAAATAAGGAATCAAAATAGGTAAAAAAACTATGTTATGGAATAAAAATAACTCTACAGTAAAGGATATAGAATGAGAGCAATGCTAGCTAGCGTAAGCAAAGATTACGGCCGTTTACAACAAACTATCTTGGCAAAACAATTAAGCTAGCAGAAGCAAGCATTAGGAACGTTTCAAACAAACTTTGACGGTGAGACAAGCTAGCATAAGGCAAACATTAAGTACAGGTAACACTATAAAGGCCGTCATTACATGATACAGCCTGACACTTTACCTGGTACGTCAACGCATGTCAAGCGTGCATGGTGTCTGAACCAGCTTTCCAGGTGAACATACTCGCAACAATGATTGATATAAATTGGACGATTTTTACAGGTTCAATGAACTAATTAGTTTTTGATAAATATATATAATAAAATGTTTATCGTATGCAAATTACTCCGTTTTTACTAATGATTCATCTAATATAATTCGGTGGAATACGAGGGTTTATTGCCTTGCATCATAACAAATCAACTAATATGCATCGCATTCTGGCTAAAATAGCATGCATGAACTAGCAAACAACTATTTAACCTTAATTGAAGGCATTGAAGTTCAATCAAATATCTGTTGCAGAATAAAGTTCAGAACGAAAAAATTGCATAGCTGAACTAATTGCAAGTTCCATCAAGCTTTATATTCATTTCCCTTAAATAGATTTGCCCTCTGAATCTTGCGCCTTAGCATAGAACGGATGAAGAACGTCAGTTTAGTGTGCAAATCGAAAAAGTATTATTAATTCTAAAGGCTTTCCTTTCACTATATAAATGACATTTCGCTTAAACAGAGACGACATTTCAGCAAAAGTTAACATGACAGGATCTTTCGTCAGCATGAAACTTCGCCAATATATCTATAGAGATTAAGATTGATTAAGCCAGTTTTAGAGCTGCGGCCTAAAACGATATATTTATATTACGCACCAATGGAAACAGCCGCCCCAACGCATGCAAGCCCATGGAGTTAACCCGCGCAGGAAATTGTCCTGGAAATGTCGTACCTTTGACGGGGCTCGTGGCAGGAGGCGTCTTCCTGGAAGACCGCCTGTTCCAGTCAGGGACGACAGGTTCGATGTTGTCTCGTGACGGTGATGTTATCAAAAGGCCTTCCTCTGACAAAGCCGTAACACAACAGGATCAAAAGCCAGCCACACACGACCAATAACCACCCAGTTCAACATGCTTGTGTATGAGGTTCGTGAAATACAGAGATCAACAGGAAACACGCAGTTCTTATCTATTTGACAGTAGGCAGGAAAAATAAATCCAATGGAAGGAGCCCAAATCACGTATTAAAAAAAATTCTATTGAAAAATATTAGATAAAGATCTCCATGCATGCTTATACAAAATTTGACTACATGAATAATTTTCAGTTTTATATGTGACGTTATAAAAAGCAAAAGTGTAAATTATTGAAAATATAAATAATTTATAATCCTAAATACAAAAGCAGATTTTGCTCGATCAAAGGCTTGTGATGGGCTTACAGGAGTGGATTATTACACCAAATTCGGAAGGTCTGTTGGACCAGGAACGAACGTGACACAAAAACAGAAGTTACAGTTTCAGTTTCTCCATGCAGAAAGCTTTTATTTCTATGGATTAGCATGAACTACCCGAGTGTGAGTCCGTGACAAAGTAAAATAACGAGCCAAGACAGTCTTCAGTTCGTGGTTAGTAAGCGACTATCAATACATATTACTGTGAGACACGTTACTTTTAGACACATGTTACTTTAAAACACATGTTACTTTGAAACACTTGTTATTTTTAGACACATGTTACTGTGTAAGCTCATTTGACATTGCTTATCAACTGAGCTTCCAAGTACACGGGTACACAAACGGCTTTATCCACGTTCACACCAGAAGTCCGACTGGCATATTTTTCAGTCGGCTTGCCAAATTCCAGAGATCACTTATGTCTGAACGAACGAGGGCATATCAACCTGCACTTCACTTGTTTGAAGCTCATCTACATAAGGGACTTAAGTTTGAATTCACCTGTAGTTTGGATAACAGATACTGTGCAGTGTGTGCCTACGCCAACTTAAGACAGGTGTTGCTGGGTCTTGTTCAGCTGGTATTTTTAATTAAAGTACGTAATGCTTCAGAGGCCATGAATGTTTGTGATTGCGCAGAGTTAATAAAGCAGAAATATGTGCAGATGATGACACTTGAAATTGTATTATTCAAGATGAGTTCAAAAGACAAACGAGTCCAGGTTTTCGTCATATGATTTTGATTTATTCATGACCAAGAAATCTAGTTTAGGCGCTTGCAAAACAGCAAATGTTGCTAGTTTAACTTAGCTGTGAAAATTTGCTTCAACAAAGTAATGAACTGACGAAAAAGCCTTGATAATGCAACTTCGAAATCGAAATTGTAAAGCTCATTGTAGTTTGTTGCATGATTTCAGTGCAACGTGCATATAAAAAGAATGACATATTGGGGATTCTGGGAGCACCAATTAGTCAGGCTGTAACCCATCTGGCAATAATCGTCGGCCTGGGAGCGGTCACTCGATGGTTTTCTGTGGACGAGGTAACATAAATGGAGAGCGTAGAGTGGAAGCTTACCTCCGGACCCGGTGGTGCGCTCGTAGTGGTGGCGGGGAGTGGTCTCCTTCGACGAGCGCCCGTCAACTTTGTCTCCAGATTTCTGACAAAATAATTTGAAAGAACTCATAACTAGATTCAATTCACACAAAATAAATTCTCGTTATATCTCAAAGAAAACAAATATTTCAACCTATCCCAAAATTTATCGTAGAGGCTTCGTATTACACTAAAGTTAGTTCAGTGTAAGAAATTAGGGAGATGAGACGAGATTTCTTTGAGATCAGCAGCAATAAAAAATTTGTTTAATTGTCATTAGGACTTTTTATGTCTATACCGACCAAAAAATTACTTGTTTCAATCTTGCCGGCTAAATGATCCATTGAGACGGGTGTTAATTTTCGAAAATATATCTTATGAATAACCTGTGCTCAAGGAATGTATGAATGTGACGTCGATAATGATGATTGACATGAACAGCTTATCCTGCGAGTACTCGTAAACTGAAATTTATCCTCTGCCACCTGCCATGAATAACCGGAGCAATATTGCCGCAAGCCTACTTCCCAAAAAGGATACGTTCTAGTGAGCACAAAATGACTTGCACTGATGGTTGCCGCCACGTACGAAAACTTTAAAATGTTCTCTGTTGCGTACAAAAGTCCTCAGGTTGCTACACTCAATAGTTTACTTATAATTTAATTTGAAAGATATGTTCCCGGAGAGTGACATACGGCGGGAGAAGGTTATTAGCTATACTGTGAAGACGCGATCACCAAGCATTGTTTGCTTAAGACGTACGACGCGAAGCTTACATGGCCACCAGTGGGCTTAGGCTTGGATGGCGCAGTGCTCGGTCGATCTCTGAGTGCTTTGGTGGGTGACGAACGCCGCGAGTTGACGATCTCCTTCTCTGCTTTGCTGATCGGTCGGCTGCTGCTTGGGGCGAAACTCGAGAATGTTAGCATCTGGAGAAAAGAAGTTTAGCCCACATGGCTGCATGTCTTGCATTTGTGTCTATGAAACTTGTGGATAAAGAACCTATTTTTAAATTTGTGTTTATGGAACTTGTGGATAAAGTACCTATTTTTGCATTTGTGTTTATGAAACTTGTGGATGAAGAACCTATGTAACCCCTGTAAGAAAAGTTCGACAAGTGAACGTTACATGTGACGAATGCTCCTGTCAAACCCATAATGAGAATGGTTAATTGAATCATTTCAAATAAACAATTCATGGAAATTCTAGTGCAAATTTTAAATTTAAAAACTGCAGAGATTCACATTTATCCTGGGAGTAACGTTAGTTCAACTAGGATGTGCCAATGTTGTGTTTCTTTTCACTTTGTTGGCTATTCCAGCAATGGCATTACTTTGGGTTATTCACTCCAAGAAACGGCACATTAACCCTTCGAAAATACTGAACGACGAAATACATTCTGTCGATTCTTCAGCATTGACAGAAACATTTGGAAACATTAAAACCTCTTTTCTAAATACCTGAAAAGATTTAAAATAGTTTATAATAAAATCTCGATACTGACGTTATTACAATACAATAATAAATAGATTCCAGTTGCGATTAAGCCATGTTTTTTACTGCTACCTAATCTTATTTAACCACACAACAACTTTACCGATCTTAACCACATTTTTCACAACCAGTTGCGAGTCTCGAACACCCAACTAGTAGCACGGTAGCACCTATCTTGGTGACCCTAATCACTCGGCTATCCCGAACGAGGCTTTATCCACTAGGCCACTCATTATTATATGACCATTGCCAAGCATGCATAAGTTTTAAGTGGGCAACCGACCTCGGTGATGCTGACGCGAGCGAGAGAGCTTGCAGAGAAGAGCGACGAGACACTTGCTCCCACAGCTCAGCCTGTTGAGTGTAGATCTCGGCGAGACGGTCTGATGCCATCTCGACACCCCATCCTCGGTGCTACAAACCAACCATTCATTTTATTCCTTCAAAAAATTCCTCGGTCTGAGATCGGTTAGTCCAACATTCAAAGGCTTTTTCGTCGATAGCAATAAACATTTACAGATGGCGTCAACCATCATCTACAATTCGTCTCATCATTTTCGCCGCACAAGATGTGAGCCGGCCGTTGATCGGCACATGGTGATGAAATGCAAATATGCTTGACTGATCATTAGGCATAATATTTGGCATGGAATTCAATTGAGAACATTCAGCAAACTGAATTATTCGCGCTTGAAGAAACCATTAACAAGCAGTAATATTAATTATTGAATTACTATCTCTTGTAATATGAATAATGAGGCTATTTGAAAAGGCGCCACATGACTTCTGGCAAAATATGAAATAACAAATTGAACTACGTATCAACTCTTAAAATTTTGAAATAATGTAGAATATAATGCAGGAATTAATCAATGATAACGGCTACTTCTCAGAATTCTAAAACGAGAATAAATACTTGTACGTAATCAAGACTAATATTGAACTTTGTGCGAGACATTTTGCTTCCCGTTCTCGTGTAAAGAGGATTAGCAAAATATTCAAGGAAACTATGAATACTCGAGCACAGACGCCGCCATCAAAAGTATGACCATACAACCTTTGCATAAATGAAAAGTAACATATGAGACGGGTGAAATTCAGCCCCTACTATGTAATATTCGCTTCAGTCCATGACCACATAAAAATAAGGCGTAAAATATAAATGTAAATCGCAGACATGAAACGCAAAATTTTTTATTAACTAGTGACCCACAGGCAAATAAATAAAAAAATACAGTGACAGTGACACTATTTCTGATGATGCGATACGAAGACAACATATACAAGTGAAGCGTGCACTGGTGGTCCGCAGTTCCGCAGTTTAGGTTCGTATGGCGTAAAGAAATTACCAAGCAAGTGATAGACTGGCTATGAGGAAGGCTCCATGAGCGATCTAAGTAGATTGGAAAATAAATTAATAATATTCGCGTGCAGAGGGAGCTGCTGCAGCCACAAGCATGGAAAGTATAAATGCTAGCAGCCGCGATGTTCTTCAGAGAAAATTCATACGAAAATTGAAAAGCTCGGAAAAGTTTCGGAAATAAAATATGGGATCACATTCTGCTTAGATATTTTCAAGACTATGAACAAACGAATGTATAAATCCAAGGCATTTTTTAGCGCGAGACTAGCTAACGTTGTTTCTTTGTTTCTAAAAAATTTCACAGCTATAACGTAACTACTACATTTATCATCAACAATTATTTAAAGAATTTCCTCACCATCCAAATTTTTGAGTTTACGGATTAATGTGGATTCATATTTTATAATGTTCTATTGTATTTGATTTTTCTGAACAATGTAATGCAAAATCTTTCAACTATGTTCGTTATGTTCCTTTATATTTTATGAAGACTTCGGAAGATTCCCCTAAAAATAATTGAAACCGTATTCTTCACACGCTTGTGCGAACGATCGCGAGGTCGGCTGTATATGTGTTGGCTCCAAGTTTTCCGAATAATTTATTTCAAAATAATTTCCTACATGCGAATCATGTGTGAACTTGGTAAAAAATGATTTAAATCCAATGCTGCATGATTAAGCTTTAACGAGGACCTACAGAACTGATCCAACCAGGTTCTCGAGTTCTTAGCAGAGATGTCAACAGAAGGGCTTGCAATTTCTATAAAAAATAGCTAGAACTCAAAGGTTTGTCTAGAGTGGACTTAATTAAGGGTACCATAGAGCGAGAACATTGAATAAGAGGGACAGACCTGCTGGACAGTCCGCCAGACGTCTCCAAAGTCCTGGCGAGCCTGCGTGTAATGGGGAAGGACGAAAAACTCAAGGCTCTCCTTCCCTAAAATTTTATCGAAATGCCCAGAAAAAGAGAAGGCCTGATCACATAGCAAGGGTATTGGAACTTTGAAATTCACGTAGAGAAAGGGAAATATTCCAGGCCCCTGTTAATGACTAAAACAATGCCGTTTATTTAAGTTGTGCCAATGCTAATCTAACGAGATGATGAGGTATGCGGAATAGCATGCAGGCCGCAATGTGGTTGCCTTATTCTGTGTTTGTTCCGTTCTAGGACTATAGCTTATATAATGATGCTCCTTTTCTGCAGCAGAGTGAAATTGGCATCAACTGGATTTACTCGGGCAGTATATATAGTTATAGTCAACAAAGGTAAGTATCAACAGGCTAATATGGTGGTAGAGCGTTTAACGTACTCAGATTAAGTGGCCATGACAGTGTTTAGAAATGGAAAAAATTACAAGATGTGAAATGTTTGTTGTGCTGGGGACGAATGCTCGATTCGAAAAAATTCAATTATGTTTGAATTGCACTCGTGAAAAAATTGACAAGTCAGTCAACGAATTATGCGGGAAATTAATTGTCATATCTGCACTTTCGTGAGATTGAGTCATTTTACATAGAAGTTATTCAATATTTCTTATCCCTAAAGACTTTTCTCAATCTAGGTTCAAGCAGTGATGAAATGAAGCAATTAGAGAGCGGGACCACCAGATGCACCAAATAAAGACATCAAATAACCTGCAGAGGTATTCGTACGGCGCTCTACACATCCTCAACAAATTTGCAGTTTATCCGAGCATTGCTAATACATTTGATGAAATATACATTTACGAAGCAGTACACTGCACTGCCGCATGCACTCACCCTGTACTGCCCAGCCTGCTTCCTCAGCTCGATGACTTCCTTATACCAGTTGCCGTCAGCGGCAGTGGCACGGCCGGCAGACGGCGCTCCGGCTGCCGAGGTGTCATCATTCTTGATATGGAACTTGCCATCTACGTACTGGTACTGAGAGAACGGTCGAAACTTTTTGCGGTACTCAGACTTGTAAGTCCTGCAAAAATATTAACTTTTAGGCTTATTAATTCTAAAGTATCACTGCACTCTGCAACGCACATAAATTCCACCTGGAATTTTCTCTGACTTCAATAGGCACAAAAGACAATTATGGAGAATTTAGGCCTCTGAAGGAAAAAAATTCTATTTATTTCTATTTTATCGAAGAAATGCATCCCACTGAGAGCATCATGCTTTGATCAAGTATTTTGAATTAAAAAAATAACTAAATTAATCTTAGATCTGTTCTTTACTACTACAAATTTTGGAATTAGCCGAAGAGGATTTGAGAGGACAAATGACATGAAAATCTCATCAACGAGATCCGCAAGAATACAATCATTGACTATAAGGAATTGAGACCATGGGTTGTGCAATGTGCATGTACCAGGTCCGTAGGTTGAGGTAGATTAGACCAGGTATGTAGGCCTAGTCAGCATAGACCAAGTCTGTAAGGTTAGTCAGCACAGACCAGGTCTGTAGGTCTAGTCAGCATAGACCAAGTCTGTAAGGTTAGTCAGGACAGACCAGGACTTTAGGTCTAGTCAGCATAGACAAAGTCTGTAATGTTAGTCAGCACAAACCAGGATTTTAGGTCTAGTCAGAATAAACCAAGTCTGTAAGGTTAGTCAGCACAGACCAAGTCTGTAGGCCTAGTCAGCATAGACCAAGTCTGTAAGGTTAGTCAGCACAGACCAGGACTTTAGGTCTGGCTTTATGTCACCGCAATGGCGCTCCAACAGACCTGTCCTCCTGAGCGCTGTCCTCCATGGCCGCTTGCTGCAGGGCGGCCTCCAGACCTGTAGCGAGAATTGCAATAACAATAAATGAAAGTAACAATAATGTTAACGCTTCGTAATTATACGTAACGTCACAAACTCCTCACGCTCATCACTGCTATTATTATCTAATTAAATGAACAGTTTTGTGAAAAAAAACAAGTTCAGACGTCATAATATTTTTTTTTTTGGAGTTAAAATCTGCTCATTTAGAGCATCCTAAATGTAAAAAAGACGAATAAGTTACATTAGTTTACAGTATTCTCATTCCGATTGTTCATCTAGCTATATATTTCATATTCGAGAGCAGTTAACAAAAAATTATGTCCGTAAAAAGTATTTATTGTCTCCGATATATATAATTATCATAAATTTTAACATTCAATTATCCTGAAGACTACAATACCGTCTTCAGTTTAACAATTAGCAATAGAAATGATACCATATTTTAAACGACTGTGTGATTATGTACGTCTGACATGAGTACAATTATGTAGGAAATTTTCTTTTAATTTATGATATTCAATCATTGTTTTATACATTTGTATGCATGCTAATAATTTATAAATGAAATTGTGTTACATGCAGACAGTAAGAAGATACCGCACTATGTGATCATATGGATGTTACTATAGCAGGCGTCTCTGACAGGCTACGAGTACGTCGCCATGCAAAACATAACAAGTGAGAGTGAAGTGCAGTGAGAAAAATAAGTGTGAAATGACCAGTTAATTGACCTCTATGCATTACATAAATAGTTCACCTACAGTACAAAACTTTACATAATTCAGACACTACGAATGCCCGAACGAAGTTCATTCACTCCATTCTTTCAAGGATTTCTCTTAAGTTTTCAAAACCGATATCAAGCTTTTTGATGGCAAACTCAGAAATGAACTACAGGAAACTATATAATTTCTAAAGATCATCCCAACTAACCACAGAATAAAATGCAGAAAGTAACAGTTCAATTGTTCATGAGACATAGTATTGTTCAGTCATCAAATTTAACCTCGAAAGCTAAGCAAACAAATCATCGAAAATTTTTTATTTTAATACTGGACATTTTTATTACTTGACTTTGGAACGTTGACTTTATGAGCAGGCAGTGCTAATTTCTCTGTCAATCTCTATTGTGGAGGTTTCTGGCTCTTACTTTAGATTACACTGGAGGTTTTTGTCTCTAACTTTAGATTACAGGCGAGGTTCCTGGCTCTTACTCTCAAATTACAACGATGGATCTCGGCTCTTACTCTTATACTACTCGTGTAAGTGGCTTGTGTTACGACTTTAATCTAACCGAGGGGCAGTGAAGTCTTTGAACTCTGTATAAGACGAGTTTTGAAGCAAGCAGCACTAGACGATCTGAGTGGATAAGACGCCCGACATTCCATAGTGCATAGTACACTGGCACATTAACATTTTCAAATGCCGCTGTACCATCTCCACACATATTTTGAGTATACGTAAAAACATCTAAAATGATTTCGACCACGGGATGGAATACTCCTGAAACTATTTTGTACTCTGAAAAAATTGTGTCCTGATACAATTTGTGCCTGCAACAAAAGATTTAATTTGAATAAACCATGTTTACATTGATTGAATCGTTATGCCAGCTCGCTTAGCCTCGCTATACAATTCTGCTGTCAGTGCTCCCAAAACACCACTATTATTACTCGATGCAATACTAGTGCGATTTTGACTAGCGTGGATACCAAGACAAATCTATCAATGCGTCCAAAACATTACTATTGTCAATCAACAAAGCAACAGAAAAATCATACCCACCACACTTAACTGATATATACGCTTCGGCAAGTTTTTTCCTCCTATTGACTATTTCCTTGGTTGATTTTCTTACTGGATCGATCGTCTGGAGATTTCTCACCTTTAACTACGAAGAACAATGACCCAACCTGCTTCTCGAATAACCGCCTCGTTAACAGTCTGCGTTACAGATGACACATATTTCCAATGATGGAGAAAGTCTCGTCTATCAAGAGGCTTCAAAATTTTCAATTAAAAAACAAAGTAACAAAAATAACAAAAGATGGATGTATGCGATGAATTGTGAACGATTTAAGATGGCGATGATCTCATACAATCACACACGTTGTGATTCACGTGAACTTTATCGTAGGCACACATTTAGAGCGGAGGATTCTCGTGATGCACCATCAAGGAACACAGCATCACAAGAACATCACATGAGAATTTCGCATACTCACATAAATTTCATTACTCAAACAAGTTACTCAAATAAATTGTCAAATACTCCATACGAACTGTGGACGTTTTGCAAGGAATAAGGGGCGTTTGGGGATATTTTGGTAATTATAAGTTTGCTAGTTTAGGGAGGGATGCTTGATATGCATTTCAACGAACAATTATAATATACATACAAGGCTTGACTTGCAATCAATGTAAAACAGGAAGATGGTCGCTGTGGGATCTTTGAACTCACCTTTAGATCTACGCCACGCGATGCCATCGGAAGGCACGCGTCTGTGGCCGTAGCCTGCCCAAGGGGTAGGTTCCGCCTTCTCGAGGGGAGCCTGATCAGAACTAACGGCGGCTTTAGTAGTAGTGGCTTCAAGTACCACAGCCTCCGCTCTACTTTCTTGAGTGCCGCCACCCGCAGCACTCCGATCCTGGGAGATGCGGCCCATGGATTTAGACTTACGCGGCGAGGGATGCGTGACGTCCTGACGAGACACGGCCTCGGTAGCAGGACCTCCTCCTCCCACGGACCCGTTGGCCAGAGACTGATGGGCAGGCTGTTGGACGCGCGTCGTGGTCGCAGCAGGCTGTAAATAATTCTCATTTTATTACGGGAATACTCAACGGCAATTTTCGAGCGATATTTTTAATTATCGGAAATTATATCAACGATGAAACAAGCGGCTCACATATCCTTGTATAAAAGTAGTAGAGTAAGTAAACGAACTTCAATAATTATCCAACCACATGAAAAAGTGCATGGAAATATAGAGTCGAAATAGACATTCGCAAGAACAACTTCGTGAGAGCCATGATGACAATGTGCTCAAATTTGAATTTAAAGTTAGCTAGGCTTAGGAACAGGCGTAGTGTAAATAAGAGTGGATGAAGATATCGAAATTTTTCAAAACAGCAGTCTCTGCTTGCGCCTGACATCCTCCGGACAGTTTCTCTTTTGGGTTTCTTCGCCTTTGGCACTGTCTTCTTCTGCCGCTGACAGCATTGATGCGAAGATTTCTGAATACTAATTACAGCCAAGCACTTTAGTCTTTAACTTGGATTGCAGATGTCGAAGGTGAAGAGTGATTTGGTAGGTCTAGATAAATTCATGCCCTAAACTATTCCTTTCGAATACACGTCTGGTAATTAGTTGGCAAACCTAATGACGATAAGTATCAACTTGAGGAAATTTAGCTCTGGGTTTGTCTAACAATTTCACGGATGTTCCTGATTTCGAATAGGAACATCTTGGCAATTAGAAATAGTCAAAGACAAATTGGATAAAGCTTGAAAATGAAAAAAAATACATTTCTGTTCTTGCGCACATTTTAGTCCTCCAGGCATCACAAAGATGCATGCCTCATGTGACTTCTCGAATATGATTTCAGACTGAATTTACGTTTGTAGAACATAAGCATCAGAAAATTTAAATATCAGGTGCGGCCTAACGTATTACCCACAACTATAACCTAACTATTCCTCCTTCGAGGAGAATGCGAGAACCAATTTAATTCTGTATCATCATTTTCGCTGTCGCTCATCTGAAAACAAACGGCACATTTGTATGCAAAATCTTATGCTTGTTATATATGGTAAAGTGGAACTATTGCTATGGAGTAATTAGAAATTACTGTGTAATACGTCCAACGCAAAGGCATAATAACTACGGACAGCCTGAGACAACAGAGCGGACGGCAAAAGTGGAGGCTGGCAATCAACACAGACAATAAAATACAAGAGGATTTAACATAGGCACATGCAACGGAACCATTCCAACGACGGTCATATCATCAACAAAATTGACAGAACAACGTCAATTGGAAACTTCAAGAAAATCGTAGCTTCATAACGTAGCTTGAGAAATAAATCGAAAAAAAAAAACTTCTTTTGACGACCGATATAATACAAAAAGGTTCGAAAAGAGTGCTAGAGCAAGCGACTAGAGGAACGAACTTAAGCAGCAAAGAACATGTACAAAATTCACGACACGAAGTCCTGAACGTAAGGAAGTTCAGAGGTGGCAGAGGCGCGTGCTGAGGTGTGGCAGGATAGCACTTGGAGCGGCGAGAGCGTTGGACAAACTTCAGTGACTACGAAAAGTGACCAAAAATTTATCCATTCTTTGCTCGGAAATTCCTGGCAGAATATTCTGACGATAAAGTCAGTGGTTTGTCATCTCATTTACAACATAAGTTTACATTGCTCAAATCTCAAATTTGTCGATAGTTGTATAGTCACTATAATTAAATACTCATTTCTCGTAAATCATGAATTCAGTCATAGATGAAGAACGTAAGATTGCTCATTCATAAATGTAATCCGGTTAAAAACGTTAAAGGCGAATCGGAAATTATATCAAAGGCTCCCAAAATGAACGCAGAAATTTATCATATTGTCTCAAAATCTGATTCTGCGCGACATGAATGAAGTTGGAACGTTTCTAGTAAAGAATTATCGCATATGGTAATAATTAACCTAATGGCAAGTGGAAAAAAATCCGCCCAACTGACGGAAAGCACAGCTAAAAGCAGCTAAGCTAGAAGGGTTCAGCGCCTATACATATCATGCATGGCATCGTATATACCTGACTTCTGGCTATAATAATTAGCAAAAAATTATTATTGAACCGGGAAAGAGGAATAAAGTGTCTGTTTACCTTCTCAGGCAATAGAAGGGGTGTTGTTTCTGGTCCCCTACCCAAACTCCTTATAGAACATTTGACAGGCCCTTTGACCACGGCTTTGTTGGTTTTTGCAAACTGAGTCTTGTATTCCGATCCTCTAAAAATGTATTCATCATTGTCACTTGCTAGTGGACCTTCTGACTTGCTTCGGGGAGCTGGCCGTAGGATTCTTCGCGGCGATCGTTCCTCTGACTGTAAAAAATGTAAACTGAGCCATGCAATCTAAAGGCGGACTAGGAATGAAGTCTTGACTGTCTTGGACTTGGAGGATTGCTTGGGATAAACGTATTGACTTGGAGGAATGCTTGGGATAAACGTATTGGCTTGTACAAGCTTGGAGGGGAGAGAGTAACTCGAACTGAAGTAGCTTGGTTCAATATTCAAACAAGAAAGTTTCTAGGTTGTTGAAATTAAAATAGAAGCTCCTAGGCATAAAAACCCTCCAGTCAGAGGAAGAGTAGGCAAACAGACTGTTTAAGTTTAGAACAAATTCGAAACGAATTTTTATTTTTCTGATTGGAAAAGAAGTAAACGATTTCGACTCACTTGATACGATAGATGAAAAAAAGTTGGAAGAAAAACTTGAACACGATTTACTAAATATCGACTTGTTTTCACTTTAACTAAAACAATTTATAGCAGAAGAGGTGTCCTGCTGACGTCATGTGCGTGTTGTCCAATGAGATAAAGATGGGGTGTGAAAAAACGAAGATTTACATTTAACCCAACCAAACCATCTTTCACATATCAATGGAGAAAAAACATCATATTTAACGTTGAAAGTTAAAAAAAGTTTAACCTTTCCTTCCTTCTCTTAAGTACGAGAAACTTCAACCCACGATAGATTAACCGCGCCACAGCTTCAGACAGATGAGCTTATAAGACCATGCATGGTCACAGCCGCGAGACCTTGACAATAATTTTTCCATTCCTACACCGAGTATTTTCGCCTTAACTGCACTCGTAAATAAGATAACTATCTGAATTGTTCAATGCAAATCCATATTTACATTGCAATCAATACCTGTGTATTGATTGCAACAAAAACATGTAAACTTTGTACTTAAAGTTAAAACGGAGGAATTTTTTTTGAAAAATTTCGTGACTTGTGCGACATATCAAGTTTTTGAGATGTCGATTGGGTATAACATTTATACATCGCGAATCGGGAAACCAGGCATTTTTTGATCAGCCTCTTTGTTTGTAGATATTTGAACCAACAACTAGTTAGAAACAAATAGGTCGGAATGTGTAGTCTTGTAGTGCGAATCCATAATGTAAACAATCCCTATAGAGGCCCTGAAGAATGAAGAAACACACACGCCGTTAATTACTTACTGTCATCTGCACGAGAGTACATGGGGTCGGGCAGAGCTCAACATTAAGTGAGTGAAAACAAAATTTCCGCTGTTAGCCTTAGTCAATAAACTCTGGGCGACCGCTGATCATTCATAGGTCGCCTAAAAACAACCGCTGTCTCGAAGGCAATAAAGTTACAGAGAAAATCCTAAAAAGACTGCATGCTCCAGAGTTGAAAATGTACTACCTAAGAACTGAGATTGGATTCGCGATGTTGTTCCACATACCCCATTGAAGACTGGTCTAATAATTACTATTTTGTGTTTAACATTGCAGTACTTACAGCAGTAAGCCTACATTGTGAACAATAGATGTGGTCCCATTATTTTCGGTGGTGGAAGGTCATGCACTAAAATACATATACCGTGGGCCTAGGCACTGAACAACGAAAAGTGGCGCGTTTGCCAGAATATGGAAATCCTCCTGGAGATTCCAGGAAGAAGTTGCAGCCATCGAGTTTCCACAAGAAAACGTGGCTGAGTAACTCCACGAACTGTCGAAGTTTTCTGCAGCCAGGCCCAATGCAGTAGCAGGGCCCGGGTGCGCTGCGCTGATAAAATGAGTCAGAGCTTCAAAGGCTCCAGTCACAGTGCTCTAGAAAGCTTGGTTAAAGGATCCTTTTCGTTCCTGGCCGCCCCAAAGCGAAGCTCAATATCACTAATTTACAAAGTAGGCGCTGGAGACAGACCTCAAAATTGCAGACCGGTGCCTTTAAAGACACAGGTCTCTAAGGTGTCATGGTGTGAGGAGTGTTGTGAGTGCTGATGCCTCGATTGACGACCACATAGTGGCAGTACTTGCGGGAAGCAAACAACAGCTGAGGCGGACCTGGCCGGCGTTTCAACAAGAGAAGCGGGGCCGATGATTAAAATCTTCGGAGCTGATGAGAAACGAACTAGCCCTTAACTTGGATAGTGAGACCTTCAGGATAGTGACAGTTCATGCAGAACATCGCATCCAACAAAAGAGTTAGGTCAAACCTCAAGCCCTTGAGAGAAGACCCACGGGGCTGTTTAATGCTTTGCCGCTAGCGCTGAGAGAGGGAAGTCCAACCTTGAGCCCTTCATAAGATGACATGAAGCGTTCTTGAGTACAATCACGGATTAACCGCCTCTGCCCCACTATACTACCAGCTTTAAACAAGCATCGATCTTGCATCAAACAAGCATGCTTGCATAAGCTGATCAACTGAAGGCAGCTACTTACTAACCACGTTCTACATCGATCCTAGCGCATCCGGTGTCGGCTATTCCCGAGAAAATAACAGTCGAGATTCCCATAGTAAAAGAAATCCTTGAAAAGGAAAAAATATTAAAGAAACAAGATTACGAGAATCTACAGAATTGTACTACTTGGGGCGAGAAGTACAAAAACAATACCGCGGAAATGTATAATTACATCCTCACTCCTTCGTATCATCAATATGGTTTGGGACGTAGCAGTCCCAGGTCATGTTGGAACGTCGCGTCATGCGGGGAAAGTCCATGACTACCGCTCATCTGCCCTCAGTTGGGCCACTGATGCACGATGCTGTTGCTTGCTTCTTGCCGCCGGTGATGGTGCAGAGGCGGACGATCAGGGATTGTGTCCAAGAACGCACACAGCCGTCCCTTGAAGGTCTCAAGGATGAACTCACCCTCTCTTAGATTCCTTTGTAAGACGTTAAACAGCCACGGCCCCGCCACGGAAAGGTAACCATCCCACAGAGATTCAAATCTATGTGACCGGAGATCTGTTGCGAAATAGGGATATCCTGCTTTCTACACAGTCTCTTCTCTCGTTATGGTACGTCTCAATATTGGAGGTCTCACTTTCAAAGTTATAGGTGTCATTCCGGTTATTATTTCCCATGTGTACAGAATGACATACATCTGCCGTCACTCAAAACGTAGGATATCGCTCAAAATTTCGTAATGTGAGGGTAGACATTAACCCATAAGATGCCTACGGTCATGGCAATGAGAGAGAGTTTAATGCATCACAGTTGTTTTTCCCATCTCGAAGATTCTATAAATTTAAGTAACCAATGGAATTAAGCAGAAACTTAATTTGGGGATGTTGCATTCAAAATGCCTCGCAGTGATTTTAAAATGCATTTCAGCGAACCAATAGAATATGCTGACAGACAGCGAACTGATGATGGAAAGTACAGTGTGATTGTATCTCTGTTGTGGTATAGAGTAAATTAATGTGAGTGAAAATTCGTGGAATAGAGTAAGAAATGTAATTGAGCTACGTACGCTCAGAGCTAAAGTAGCTCCCCAGGTATACCGCAAGATGGTGTATCATTCATATGCTTTGGACTCCCGTGCCATTAATGTAGCACAAACGTTAATCCCATTTAGGATTTATTTACACATAATTTTATTCCGCAGATATGAATTCTCCTGATAGTGCACTGACAGTAATAATGAACGAGAGGTTGACGAGAGATGAGAGTAATGACGAGCGAGAGAGCTGAGTGAAAGAGCTGAGCGAGAGAGTTCGATCAATATGGACGCATTTGATCCTTCCTCACCTTACCTCTCACCCTTCACCATGCATTGCCCACGCAGGAGCCTTCAAAAGTTCAACGACATCATGCGATGGTTGAGGGCACTTTTTATCACATTTCGACACTCGTATCATAATCTGAGTGTTTCTGCCAATCCTGGACACATTAGATAAGCATGATCAATCTTCAACGTTTCTAATAATGACAAAAACTTCAACCCATTACGAATGATACATTTTCTCGGCTCTACTGAGGACATCCCGGCAGTCTCACGTGCAATGCACAGGCTTAAAGCTGGCTCCGCAATGAACGATCGATTCCAATGCAGCAAATTTGCTTCCACTTCTGATCGGGGAAGTTGGTGAAGAGCAACACTTGAATCAGAACGAAATAAAAGGAAGGACTTCCCCATTCATTCTCTTACTCACTCTCTTTCTTCTCTCCTCAAAAGTTTTTTCGATTGTGACATTGGCAGAAGAACGTTTGCGCAGTCGTAATTTGGGCCGGTGTACTGAAACTTTTAGGATATTAAAATTGAGGTTATTCATTGATGGAGAAATTCAATTTAGTTTACTACTCTTTAATTTAGAAGAAGAGTTAATATCAACTGACTAAATAAAAAATACATGCGAGGTCGACGCATATAATCCTTAGCGTCTCAGCAGATTTCAGAGAATGTTTGGGACTCTCACTGATATGCACCCTAAAATAACGCAATGAAATTTCTTCAGCGCGTTGCATAATTTTATGGCGACTGAATTATAATGTTTTGAAAGTTATATTGTATAGGCATGCATTATATTGCTACCTAAAACGCTACCAGACGCTTAAGTTTCACTCCATTGAATCTGTTATCTTCACTATATAGCATTGCATAGTGTTTTGGCATCAAAATACATTAATAGTTCAAATATTATGATGAATTTTATTTGTAAAGAGAAATTATAGTCTTTCAAAAATATTTATAGTAACGTGAAGTGGTAAATATAAAAGGCCTAATCAGCGTCATGATATAATTAAGGTACACTTATTGAGACGAAGATTATCTCTCACACAAAGCATCTCGCGGACATCTCAGCGCCAAAAACTGCACATTGATTGATGAGCCAAAGGGCACATGTCAGCCTTGACCTTGAATTTATATCAGTTTGGTTTCATAACAACACAACTTGCAACGTCTCGATGGAATGACAAATACACATTATAGTGTCTAGACGATATTGCGGCCATACATCAGTGTCTTAATGGTGCGAACAATACACATCAGTGTCTCGATGGTTTGAACAAAAAAAATTAGTGTCTCGACGACATGTCGAGACAACGACACAAATGCAGAAAC